ATAATGAAACGTTCCCTGGTTCCAGTTTTGCTGCTTTTATCTGATTGTTACAGAATGTGTCTCCAGTGACCACCCGGATCTCACTGTCCATTATTACTGTCAGCAGCCCTGCAGGAGAGACGCTCTGTGGTGCATTGTGGGATTTTAAGAGCAGGACACACTCTTCTATTGTCTCGACTGTGTTCACAGCGTTAATGCCAGAGAAAGTAAAAGTGTAGTAGAGTGTCTCAGCTGCCCGGCTCCAGCCAACACGCTGGGACAAACATGTTTTTCACACAAAGGAATAAATGAAATAATGTATAATGTTTGCCAAATTTACAAGAAGGTCCAAAAAAGTAAAGAATTTGTCGTAGATTCACAACGTTAAAAAAAGTTTCTCTTCACTCAATAATTCCCAAAATGTTGAGATTCTTTGAGGGAGTCTGGTGATTTTGTGGTAGAAACAATGTGTCCACAAACATTTGCTGCTTATCTTTACAGGTACGAATGCACAAACATTTAATTCAATTATATAAATTTCTGTGTACAAGATGTCAGTTATGCTGGCGCTCCGTCATTGTGGACGAGGACGTGTTAGCGTTTACAAAAGATACGTGGTGAATTGTTTAAAAGATGAGTAAAACATTCATTAGTCGCAGTCCTGCTGTAAAGGAACGACCTCGTTAGCTTCACGTTTCCTCCCGCAGAGGGAACCTTTTGGCAGATGTCACTGCAGAACAAACTGCAGGCGTCTCCTCGTTTCCAGTCCTCTGACTGCCGCTACGTCAGTCGGCCTGTTGAGTGCTCGCGGTGATCTTTAATGAACCGGTTGACCTCCCATCAGAGAGCCAGATGGCCCTCAAAGAGCTGCCATCAACACACACAGGATACTGGCCTTCATGACAGGGGGGACGCCCGAAAACCTCATGTTCTGACAGGAAACCCCTGCGTACTGACCTGTGGTTCACGCAGCCACAGTCTCAGGACAAGAAAACAAGGAATCATGGTTGGGCGTCTCCCTGCTGAAGGGAACAGGGCGGGTTTTGAAGCCAGCCTCACCTGTCGAGTGCCTCTCTGAAATATTTCCTCTGAACGTCGAACTGGAAGATGGTCCTCTCGCAGTCGGTGGAGGCGTTGTCGCTTCCGCCGTGTTTCTTCAGGAAGGCGTCGAAGCCGTTCTCCGCCGGGTATTTCTCACTGCCCATGAACACCACTGAACATCAGAGAGAAGGAAAAAGACATCAGGAGAAGAGACTAAGGCTTGGTTGATATATTGAACTCAATCTATTATTTTAATTTGCTTCTCTTGAATATCCCAATGTGTCACTGCAGCATGTACACAACCTGCTTTATTTATTTGTTTACCTTTCCCTCTCTGGACGTTTACAGTTATGTCTCTCTTTTGGTGAGACTGTGGAACAAACTAAATGCCGATTAGGTTCATTTGAACAAGATATTTTTCACTCCTGCAGTTTATTACTATGACTCTGGTTTTGAATGTAGCTTTTGTCTTGCTGCTTATAGACTCTGTATTGTTATAAGGATGTAAAGTGATGAGTGTATGATGAAGGTAGAACCGGCTCTCTCCTGTCGGACTCACTGTGCTCCAGGAAGTGGGCGAGGCCGGGCAGGTCGTCTGGATCGCTGAAGCTCCCGACACTGATGCACAGAGCAGCTGCTGCCTGGAAACAAACAAACACACAAACAAACAAACACACAAACAAACAAACACACACTTTAGAGATGTGCACTCGAATCCACTCGTGAGACCTGACCGGTGTGTGACAGGGTTGTGGTCACCGTGGGGCTCCGGCGGCACGAAGAGAGACGACAGGAAGTGCGACTGGTCAGCTTTGACTGATGGTGGCGGTTAACGGTGACGACAACCCGACACTCAGCTGTCTGATGCTGCTCAGTGACACTCGAAGAAGAAGAAGTATTGTTTGTATTCAAAGTCTGATATTTCTCATTCTTCTGTTACAATTATTATTATTTTATGAATCTCTTCATTTGGAGAATTCAGAGAGTAAACACTAACCTGCACATGTACTGCAGCATCTTAGACTGTTGTTGTGTTGTTGTGTTGTGTACAGAATGATTATTAATGCTAATTTATGCCACTCTGAACACTTTAGACTAAAGTTGTTAGTTTGAGGACAGAAACACTGACCTGCTTCTCTGAGCTCCCTCTCTTCTTCTTCCCAGCGTTATCCTCGTCCAGCTCATCGAAGTCGCTGTCCTGCTCTTCCTCTTCGTCTTCCTCCTCGTCCTCCTCCGACCCCTCACCAGAGTCACCTTCTTCCTCGCCTTGCTGCTCTTCCTCCCGCTCCTCCGACGCTCCCTTGTCCTCTCCGTCTTCGCCCTCCGCCTTCCCGTCCGCCCCGCTGAAGTCGGAGATGAGGAGCGCTCGCAGGCCGTTACTCAGCTCGATGTATCTGCAGAGAGAGAGAGAGAGACACAGAGAGAGAGAGAGAGACAGAGACAGAGAGAGACAGACAGAGAGAGAGACAGACAGAGAGATCTCTTAACTTTACAGCTGTGGAGACTCTGTTACATAACATTACAATAAATTCTACTTCCTCCTTTCCTGCTCTTAGATATGCTAATCTGTGTTGAAAAGACAACCACATTTTAAAAGACTTCCTCTGAGACCAAACGCTGTTCTCCCCCCACCCAACCTGTATTTCTTCGGGTCACTGGGTGATTTGATGATCTCCGGGTCGCCCTGGTCTTCTGCAGCGATTCCTCCGTCTCCGTCTCCGGCAGCCACCTGGGGCCTGACGTCCTGTGGCGGCGGTGGCGGCGGCTCACCCTGGTCCGGGGCGGAAACCTGTCCCGGCACGCTGCTGCCACTCGCCGATTTGTTGGTCTGAGGCATTTTAACAGAGTCGTCTGGAGGGGACAGGGCTAGAGACGGAGGAGTTGATGTAGTTACACACACTATGAGGCCAAAAGCAACAACACACAAAAATAAATAATGGTAGACTATTACTATATATTTTATAATTGATTTGATTGACTCTCCACCAGACTCCAGAGACAAAAACACTACTACTATTGTGTGACTTTGGTGTTTTAACTTATTTATAACAACATAAAACACGTTAATCAATAAAAGGCTCCTGTGCTCTCGGAGGTAAAATGAGTGTTTTTATCTATGGAGTCTGGTGTAGAGTGATATTCGTGATATTCAGTAAAGAGCTGCGTTATACAGTAAAAACATATTTTATTGATTAGTGTGGAAATCATTCATTTATCATCACATATTCAATTTCCACACACTTCGATCCATCCAATATAATTATAAATATAAATAATAATCACTTTATTTAGCAAACTGTGTCTATCTGACCTTCCCCAGAACATATAAAATATCTTTAAAGCTATAATACTGCATTATTAAACTGTTTGTCACATTTTACCTTCATCAAAAAACTGCAGCTTCTGCATTTTGAACATTGCACGTGACCATGTTGCAATATTGATAATATTTTGATTAATTGTGCAGCTTTATGTACAGTACATGCTGACATTAGGATGTTTGTATAAGCTGTGTACTCCAGACTATTAATCAGTAATAATCAGCAGCTGGGAACCTTAAAGCTTGCAGCCAGGATCAAATACTGCAAAGTGTTCACAAAAGAGGAAGCAGCCAGTTTCAGTATGTCCCATATGGTTGACACTGTCAGGTGTCCACATACTTAAGACCACGAACACCTATTACTGCATACTGACAGGGAGAGACCGCTGTTATTACACGGTACACTGATATTCTGCTGGATTAAATCTCCGCCGAATGAAAGAACATCACCTCCTGTGCCAGAAACTACCTCGAGATAAATTTCATCACGTATGATTTCGCCGATACGAGAAGAAAAGGTGAAACTATGTGAGTTTATTGATGCAGTCTGGCGGCACCGTCTCGTCGCGCGAGAGAAGTGAATGGAACGTTAAGCGGGATAATGAGCGAGCCGAAACTGCCGTTAAGATTCTGTCAATTTAACGGCAACGGAAAGCGGAAGGAAGCTAGCAGGCTAACTGCTGGAGCTAAATTAAAGTATTGACAGAAATAACGTCGGAACAGTTACCGAGAGTTTGGCCGTTTAATCGGATGGAGAATCGGTTCATTTAACCGCAGCACCGGCCGGGTGAGCCGTATATTAGCTTTCAGTAATCCCGCTGAGGGCGACACAACACCGCCTGTTAAACAAGCTAGTTTTAGCCACACGGGGCTAAAATACGAGCCGTTGAGTTTGAGCGTTAGTTAGCCGGCTACACCTGAGGTCTGAAACACGACACAGCGGTTCGGTTCGATGCTCTCCGGTGTAAGGAGCCGCTCACCTTTGTTTCAGCTAGCTTAATGTTGGTGGAAGTTTGGAGTTTCAGCCGCCTAGCCTGCAGATAGCGGTTAGCCAAAACAAAGCCTCTGATTGGCTGAGAGCGAATCAATCACAGACAACCGGGCCGTCTGATTGGTCGAATCTGTGACGTCGATAATAAAAGTTTGACTGACAAACACTGAAATATTAAATATAAATATTAAATATAAATATTAAATATAAATATTAAATATAAATATAAAATAAATATATTAAATATAAATATTAAATATAAAATATAAATATAAATATAAATATTAAATATAAATATTAAATATAAATATAAATATAAATATAAATATAAATATTAAATATAAATATAAATATAAATATAAATATAAATATTAAATATTAAATATAAATAATCTCTATAGTGCTCATAAACCACACACATATATATATTTACTTAAAAGTAATAACAAAAATATTCCGACTTTTTATTTTTATTTTTAACAGGGATAAAAAGAAATGTTTTCAAAATCAGATTTTTTATCTGTATTTTTTTTTAAATATAAGGAAATGTTGATAAAATGACAAAATATCAGGTGAATTTAAATTTCTAATGTAAAATACTGTGAAAACTTACTGTAAATAATCATAAAATTACTACTTATTTAAGGAAAATGTTCTTTTTTTTCACATAAAAGAGATTAAGATAAATATTGCAAATCTATAATGTTTTCACAGATATTTACTGTTTATTTAATAAACGGTTAAATTCAAGTTTAATACTGTTAATACATTTTATAAAATTATGTCAAATAAGTGACAATTAACAGCACAAAAACAGTATTAGTTGTGTAATTTTAATGTATTAGTTAGTTAACTGACAGATATGTTGTATAATGATGGAAGTTGAATAAATGTTGTTTATCAGTGTATAAGCATTGGTAAACTGTCCAAATACAGTTGTTATCAGTGTAAACAGCAATAATTACTGTAATCTCACAGATAATGACTTTTATTACACTTCTATAACTTTTAACATTCACATTAAAATAATAACAATCCAATAATAACAGCACTCTGCTGGAAATGTAAGTCTGATTGTTTTCATTATAGCAGAGTTCACCTGGATTTATAGATCATTGCATTGTTTTTAAAGTGGAAATATTTTTAATTAAACATTAAAGACAAAAAAGATTTTATGTAAAATTAAAGCTGCAACTGTGCAAAACTTTTTATAGAAAATATCTGTATTTTTACAAGTAAGTTATTTCACAATATTAAACTGTGACAAAAATCAAAACAATCAGACAAATCTTATGATTAAAGATTGTGATTTTTATTATACTAAATTGCATCTATAATATACAAACATTCACAATATTTTGTACAATCACTTTGTGCTTCTCCCCCGTACAGGAGCGAACCTTAAGACGACAAGTTTACATAAACTCTCTATATAATTTGTCCATGGTATACACAGCATAAAAATAAATTCATACTCAACAACATTATAATTTCTAATTCTATCATTTACAAATTCACTTAAAAAATAATCATATGAAGACAATGTCAATATTATTGTATGTTTTTATCAATCTGAAGACACACGGTGGGGAGTTACACACAAAAACGTGCGCTGCGGTAGCTAAATAACAAGTTGGTAGGATATTTTTTATTTTCTACCTTCGTAATATTTAATAATAAATGCACAAATTTTTGTTCTCCTCGTCCCGTTTTCCTTCATATACACACGTACTGTATCTCAGCTGACATTATCAAAATATCACACTTCCGTCAAAGATACTGTACACAAACACAAAAACCCTCACAACTGAACACGCAATAAATATCATGATAACCATATGCAACAATAGAACGTGGCCCTAACGTCACACACACACACACACACACACACACACACACACACACACACTCACACACACTCAGGTTCATGTAGGAAACACTGCGAACATGACGTCTACGTGACTACACCTGCTAATAAGGGGGGGGGGGACACATCCATGTGCTCTTCACTCATCAGCTCTGCTCACGTGTGTGTGTGAGTATAAAACAGCCTCAGTATGGCGTTGGTTTGTGTCGGCCAGTGCAAAAGCTGTAAGCCACCATGAAGCAGGGCTGCAGCACTCGGCGGCAGTCTGGGGTCGAGTCTCTGGCAGCCTGGAGGGGGTCTGATCTGGATCCTGGACCTTCTGGGTTAATGTTTATCTCTCTGGTTCTCAAACTATGGTGCAGGCAGTGAGACATTACTACTAATACTATTACAGTAATGACATTACTTTCTACAGTAACTAGCTGTGTAACTAATTTCTAATACATGTCAGTAATAATATTACAGTAATAAGAGTAATATACTGTATCCACCTCACATTGATGTGAGCTGACCAACAGCTGGCTAGCTCAGTGTTACGAAGGCTGTTGTAAGCGGTTCTTGTTTCTAGAGGCAAAGAGACCGACAGGGAACTGGCTTTGTTACGCTTCAAGCTCCTAGTTTTGAATCGCTTTAAAACATTTCAGTCGAAATTAAATTGGTTGGAACCAACAAATATCAGGTTTTCCTTGTTGACCCAAAGTGTTCATTTTATATTCTACAGGTCGTTGTTCATTGCGCAGCGTCCTCTGTTGATGATTACAATGGCTCCCTTCAAAACTGGTTGAAGAATATTGAATGGAACTGGTTCAAGAACCAGAACTACACTACTCACAAGAAGTTAGGGATATTCGAATTCATGGGAGCAAAACAGGTTGTGAGAGTAAACGAGGAAAGAAACCTGAGTTTAACTGTTGTTTTAAAGAGTGATTTTCTCTGCTGATGTGAACAGGCAGCATCCCTTCTTTGTTCACCACATCGAAAAGCTGCCCATTGTCAGCTTTGGCAGTTTGTATCACAAATTGACGCCTCGTACACGCCGACTGAGTCCTTACATTGTGTCAACTGACGGCCGTCAACGTAGCAGCAGAACAAGGCGCCACAATACAACAGCTCATCCTCTCAGTCTGTGCAACATGACAGCACAGTTGGCTGCAGATTGTCAGAACTATTGTGAATAAACACCATGCTCCTGATATTGTAACCATTAGTTACGCAACACACGCCATTTACCTTGTCACTCAGACATGTATCGTACTTACAGTATATAAATCACCTTTTTAAGATTTAGTTCCTGATTTGGTGACACCTGTGGTTATTTTACTGGTTTATTTGTTTACAGCCAAACAAACTGGGCTGAGAGGTTAAGAAAAGAAAGAAAGATAACCCAATGTTGTCTCCCATATTATGTTCAGTACATGCCTTGTTTCCTGTTAATTCCTTGTGTGAGGGTCAGAAATTGGTATAATTTAATGAGGCTCTCCGAGATTATTACTTTAAAGGGTTTGCAGTTCTGAAGCCTGCTGCTCTGTTTCTCTTTTACATTAATTACAGTTAGGGTCAAAGAGATCAAGTGCTCCAGCAGCACATTAATCCCACAGCGAAGAACAGATTCTCTTTGTTCAAAATATCTTTCCTCCAAGGTCACTGTGTATTTAAATCAACTCCACAGGTCTCACCAGCGTCTCAGTGGTGAAACTGAGCTTACTCTGTGATCTGTGAAACTCCTGTTTCCTTTACACCACCAACACATATTGTTACGTCATCCTGGAATCATGGATGGACTATGAGACATTGTTGCCCTGGACACAGGTATGTAAAATGCCCCACACCGTCCTCCTACATAGGAGCAAGATACCCAGTCTGTGGTTGTCATTTTGCCTCTTTTAGTAGTCATGTTCTGTCTCTTGGTAGTTGTTTTCCATCTTTCTGTGGCAATTGTATGTCTCTTTGTTATAAAGATAACATCGAGCTTCCTCTCAGGCTACCCTGCATGCTTTCACATGTTAAGACTTAAGCTCTAAAAAGGAGATTCTTCCTTGTGAATGGAAAATCAAATCTGTATTTGCAGACTTAAATTTGTCATGTCAGTTTTTCATTGATTAAATTATATAACTCCTGACATAACAGATTTCCTGATGAAGTAAATCTCAGATTTCACAGATTTCTTGTCCTTTAGTTGTCAGTTAAGTCACAATAGAAGATATGCCAAAACAGAGCACCATTCATAGATTACAGTCATCTTTCGGAGCCAGTTGGATTTCCACAAAAGTGCATAACATTGATCCTCCAAAGACTTTTCCTGCATAATTCGGTCTTGTATTTATGACTTAGTATCTCAGGATTACGTGATCAGTATTTAATAATGTTACAAGAAAAATATCTCATCATTACGGGTTCTCCATCCACCACTATCTGATGAAGCCAATAGAACCACATCATCTGCAAATAGCAGAAACAATTCTGAGGTTCCCATAACAGACACTCTCAACCGGATCGTAGAGGGCAACCTCACCCACTGAAAACATGTTTGACTGTGCAGAGAATACACTCTCACTTTGGTTATACAAGGAACAGATGGCTCGTAGCAACGGTTCCAGTACCCTCCACAGGATCCACAAAACACATCCCCCCCACTGAGCTGGTCCACTGTTCCACAGCCAGGACAGAATCGGCATTGTTCCTCCTGATTAACGAGTTCCTTATCTTATAACAACTTGCAGCTAGTCCAGTTATCTGGTTAAGCCCCGCCCCTTTCCGAATACGTGTGCATTTGAATACAGATAATTTCACTGTTTGAACAGATACAGAAACAGGTAATAGTGTACTCAGTTCAAGGAAAGTTTGTTAAGGAAAGTGCAATGCAAGTGCTGTTATTATTGTTCCAGTACATACTGTACTGTACATTGATTTGTTTCATAATTCTACCCAACACTAATAATCTAAATGAACCCTGTTAAAACATCACAAGGCATTCTCTGTGTAACTACAAACACTACAGGGAAGCATCAGATGGTTTTTTGGACTCGACCCGCTCCTGTTAAGTATTTCACTCAAATGATTTCGGCTGCAGCCCTGCCTGGGAGTTGTGCATTGGTGGTGTAGCCCTAAAGCGTCTTTCAAGCCAAAAAACAGCACTAAGTAAGGCCAGTAACAGTTAGTGGGCTATAGGCATATTGTATTCCAGTGGACTCACTACTACTAGCTATTTGAGAAGCAGCCTATCTGATGTTTCGGCAGATGACTTGGTGAACGACTGCGACCTGTAAACTTGTGAACATGAGCAGCTGTGGTGTTGTGGTAAGTTTCTCGTTGTGCTACACTTTGAGAGGAGAGGCAGTGCTGTGCTTACCTGTGGACCCTGCTTCCAGCTCCTGTCGGCAGTGCACTCCGAACAAAATCAAATTTGCTGTCTTTCTGAGGTTGTGCAACCAAAATGAAGAGCCACATTCAGATAAGGTTGGGGCAGGGCTAGACAGATATTCCACAATTACTGTTGTTGCCATATAATAAGTGGCCTTCTTTTAACTGTATCCTTTGGTTTGTGTATTTCAGGTTTAAGTCTGGAATATTCTTCTTAATCTGCACAGAAAGGCAAACACACAGTGGCGTATTTATGGCTCGTCTGGTGACGTCAAATGATGCATGTCAAATGACGCAGTGCTCCATGACCTCCGCTGATGCGTGTTGCACATGTCAGGTACATTCTTTAAAGGTGGGGTCGATCATTCTTGACTTGGCTCGCTCCGAGTCACTTTGTTTCTTTCCCATTTACCATAACCCAAAGCTTTGGTGTTTGGCGACCTGGGAATGATACTCAACAATCAGCTATCTTTCTCCAGAATGATTGACCCACCTTTAATTTGGTATGTTCAAACCCTCTTCCCAACATCAACCTATTTGCGCAAGTATTTCCTAATGGTACAAGCTTCTATTGTGAATTATTTTGGCAAGGACACAAGAAGCTGTCCCAGAGGCTTTTAACTTTTTGTATCTAGCTCCAACGTCATTAAACAACTCCAGTCGCAATTAGCATTCAAGCATTTGCACACACCAATGTAATCAACAGTGGCTCTACAATATTTTGAAAACACTGCAAATTAAAATGACATTGTGTCTGGAGTGCACTGCCACCCTTACTCCTCCGTCTACGTAAGGGCCAACCCCGGATACTTGGGGAAGGGAAGGGAATGAAACTGGCTATATAAATGTTAGTTAGCAGAAATCTCAGTAGGCGTAGTGATTATTGACTGCTCACAAACATGGACTGAAGCAGAGAGAGTGTGTTGAGGAATGTTACAATAGTTAATATGTTTTTTTTTTCTTTTTCTCGAGAGCTTAGGGGAGCGGACGAGGCGACAGCAGAGGGATGAACGGCGACGGACGATCAGCAGCACTTCTGAGGTAGCTGGGCAGGCTTGTCGGTCAGTCTGGTGGTCTTGGTGCCAGGAGCCACCGGTGCCTCCACGTCCACACGCTCTGACATCTTCACACAGATGATGTCCACCAGGCGCTCAAAGACCTGCCGCACGTTTATGTTCTCCTTGGCACTCGCCTCGTAGTACTCAAAGCCTGCAGGATGAAACAGAGGAACTTTGTTTTTTCAGCTGAAAACCTATATATACATGGGTGTTTAGAAGTGTTGTTGATGGATTCAGGTCTTGACATTTTAGTGCAAAGTATTTGAATAAGAAAAATATTGTGCTATAAATATACATAGCTACCCTACTTTATGAGCTCAGTAAACAGGTTCCTGATGAGTTTCTGGTCTCAGTCTCTAGTTTCAGTCTTCTTCCATACAGCATAATGTTCATTTAGTAAATGATGGTCCCATTTAGAGTAAAACAGACCATAAAGAAGGGTATGCTTTAGGGCGGGGCTACTCTCCAAGAGCTAAATATACATGAGATTAGAAGATGTAAAGCCAACAGCTTTTACCGTGTTAATGCCATGACAAACAGATATTGGTGTTTGGATTACAGGGGAGCCCGAGGGGGGAGAGAGCAAAAAGCTGATCAAACATTATATTAAATCACTAAATGTCATTAAAATACTGAAAGAGTATCTTTTTTGCAGCCACTTGGAGCTGCCCCCTGCTGGCCAGTAAAAAGAATGCAGGTTTAAGACACTTCCACTATCTTCACTTCACAGACTCTGTCCATTATATACTGTTAATGATAATAATTCCACTTTTCTTGTAAAATTCTGAATAGTTTATCAGACTTTTAAAATAATTAAAATCAAACAATCGGCAGAGGGAAAAGTCCCAACTGGTCTTGACTCAGATGTAAATCTGTAACAACATGTAGACCTTTATTTGTTTTAAGCCAAAAACTCTAGAAACCAGTGACTTTAATATTCCCTGTCACTCTAATCTTTACGCTCTTACTGTTAAACTGGGTGTGGTTTTATCTATTTGAGCATCTCAAGGTGTGTTTGCTGTATTCAGACTCTTCTTCCCACTTCACAAATATCTTCTGTAACCTGGGAGCCCAGTCCACACATTTGAAGGTGGTGTGATATCTCACAGATGCAGTCTGGATAAATTCTTCCGATGTGACTTTTTCATGATAAAAATTAAATGTCATCACTTCCAATCTCCGTCTGTAGCTGCTAACAAAAAACTTTGCTCGAGGACATTCAAGTTTGCTGTAACGTTTTCCTGAACATTGGGTAACTTGGGTGACTCTCCTTTCAGTGAAGCCTGCAGTGTGTACTTATGTATTTACATACATTAAAGAAAAAATAGCTCCCAGCAGTGGAGCTGAAACCAATATTGTGCATTCTTGATTCAAACACCTCACAGTCATTTGGCAATAGGCAATATAGTTATATTATTTAAGTATTCCCCCAGGTTGAACTTCAGCTGCTCTTTCTCACAGTACCTATAAATATTGCACAGAAGCATGATTTTAATACCATGAATGTTTTGGTAAACATCAGTTTTTAAGTACTGCAACCTAATTGGAGCTGACCTAATTGGTCGGCGAGGTGTTTTCCTTTCTCTGGAGGTACGATTCTCTCCTCGTCCATGTCGCACTTGTTGCCCACCATGATCACCTGGGCGTTGTCCCACGAGTACGTCTTAATCTGAGTGGCCCTGAAAGCACATTTTAAATATTTTAATTGAACTTTTATTTGAGACACACACAGAAGCATACACACTACAGCTTCTGAGCAATCACGTACCAGTCCTGGACAGCGTTGAAGGACTCCTCGTTGGTGATGTCGTACATGAGGATGAAGCCCATGGCGCCACGGTAGTAGGCCGTGGTGATGGTGCGGTAACGCTCTTGCCCTGCTGTGTCCTGGAAACAAAGCAATCAGCAATAAAAATACGAGCTACCACTGGACTGTAAAGTCTCAAGCGTCCCCATGGTCACTGATTTAATGACCCATGATTCATTGCAAGATGAATGTGACGCAGTAAAAAACAAAAATAACTATTATGAATTATGAACTAGAATATTTTTAATTTCCTGAAGAAAATGCGTATGATTGCTGAATCTGCTGCTCGCAGGCACAGCTTCTAAAAGAGTATATATGCCACCCATCTACATCTGTTGTAATTTAATGCTGTGTTCAAGAGATATCGGTCCAAAAGAGATAACGGTCAAAAGGTGGGGAAAAGAATAATAATCAAATAAAACTGAAGTACATGTGTCTTGGCATCACACACTTTACTATTATGATCATTAGACAGTATAGACCTGCCTGTTCGCACTACTGCCCGTTCCGATTGTATTGACTCTGTAAGTTTACCGTCTGAAGCATTATATTTTTTTTTATTTTTTTTTTATATAATATTGGACTTCACTAAAAAAGTTCCTATTATCCTAATTATTATTATTATATGAATCAAATAGACAGTACAGACCTTTGACCTGTATCTACAACACTGACCTTTGCCCTGTAACTATAGCCCAGTACAAAAATCTCAGTCTTCTACTCCTAACAGTTCATGAGTTATTAGCCAAAACATAAAATGTTTAATGTCTACTCCTAACAGACCATATGTTACAGGAAGACAGATTTGCTGTAAATTGGAATTTCTGCTCTGTTAGATGTACAGGTGATTTATTTAGATTTTTTTGAATTTGGGAATTTCAAACACTCAATAACCAACAACATGGTTGGTTGCAAGCAGCAATCACACTATATTTATCTACATATAAACCCTCTTCAAAAAACCCAAACTAATCTTTAATAGCAATCTGCCCTTTAGAATTTGATATTTCTTGTGTAGAAGGGGACTCAATGTGGTGATGGGGGGAGGTACAGAAAAGACCAGGAAGGCACTAAAATAGTTCAACCAATTCCTCAACCCTGAATCTCTGAGCTGTTGCATGTAGGTAACGCTGGCTGTTACCATGGAAATATGATGAAAATCTTTATTTTCCTCTGGACAAAGGTGTTGGATGGACCAACCTCACTGAGCCAGTCAGTCTGTGTATGAACTGTTGTATCCTGTTTACAGTGAGCAGGGATAAGCTCACATCCCAGCACACTAAGCTGGGATATTATCTGTCATACTTTGGCGTCAAAACCAGACTGTTTGATTTGGCTATTAGTGCAATTGCTGTTTCCATGGAGATGCAGGCAGTCAGACCGGCTCTGTCATTTTGACCATGAGTTGTTATAAAGCATAAATTTTCTTAATGAGAAGCTTCAGAAACTACACTACATGTCACTTCAGCAGTTACATACATGTATGAATATACAAATTGATGCTCCAGACAGACACACACACACACACACACACACACACACACACACACACACACACACACCTGCACACCTGCACACCTGTTCTCACCTCACAATAACACAGCGATGTGTTAAACTTCACACTGAAGCTCAATCTACACTTTAACACCTTTTACCCGAACATCATCATCAGTCTGTCTGTTCATTAGTCGTTCTGCCAACAGCTGAAACAGTGAAAGAGACTAAGAATAAGTTTGAACCATCATCTGCAGTCTGCATCCATTCCTTCATGTTTACAGATGCAGATATAAACTGCTGCTCTTATCTGAATAACAATAACGCTAAGGGCTGCATGGTTCAGGTACCAGTGAGATAAGATCCAGGTGCCGTTGCTTAAAACATCATTGAATGATGTCTGATGGGCTTTGATTTTTAAGGGTTAAGCCAAAACTGTTCAAATCAACTGGATCAGGAGATTCTGAATATGGCAAATGAAACATTCAGATGCGGCTCTTTCAAAGTTCTCTGTTTTTGTTTGAATTTTTATTTCTGAAACACATGACAGAAAGAGCCTACAGTCATTGGAAGAGAAAGTGTAGGGTTTGGATCAATGAAACAACGGACCTTGATGATTATCCACCCAGCGACATCAGCAGGACCAGCTCCACCACAGTGGGTGTTGTCACCCCAGGAGGAGAGGTAGAGGGCCGGATAGAAGCCATGCTGGCCCAGCTTGCACTTAAGGCTGCTCCTGGATCATTTCCAGTCTGGACGAAATGTTTGAGACTGTTTTGGCCACATCTTTACCGAGATCTGCTCCTTCCGACGCAGGACGAGAGTACATCGATGATGTTTGGTGCTCAAACACAGTCGAAGTGGATAGAAACTATTTTATTGTGAAATTCTATGTTATTTATGAATTTAATTATCTCTTTCTTTATGTGTAGAAAGTAACTATACTAGAAGTAATAGACAAAATAAAAACTGGCTGCTGTCAGAGTATCTCACTCTTTAAACAACCCAACTCGTTCATCTCCTCTGACACTCTTAACCGTCTTATCTGAAGCATCGATCGAATTGCAGCCGCCGGCGCAGATCGCTGCTCGACTGCAACAAACCAGCTGAGCCTCAATGTGACTTTCACGTACGTCCACAACAACTCCCACAGCATTCAGCCGCCATTCTCCTCCATTTCATCCTCATACCACTACAGCTGGTCTGGGTGCAGTCATTCCTCTAAATTTAGCTCTTTTGTGCTTCGCTTCCTCTGCACTCATTCAGCAATCCCTGGTTTTCTCCTTCTCTTTCTTGTGAGATGTGGCGAGCGCTCGAATCCATTTAAATTAATTGAGATTCGGGCGTGATTATCTGTGTGTGTGTGTGTGTGTGTGTGTGTGTGTGTGTGTGTGTGTGTGTGTGTGTAAGCGGAGCCTCAGGCAGTGACTGATTTCCTCTCAGTTCAGTTGAAAGCAGAGAGAAATGTGCGTTTGATTTCCACAGAGGAGGACATCACTGCACTCCAGCAACATGGCCAAAGATGTATGCGGACAGCTGGACACATGTGAGAGTTGATCGTCTCGTTCCAGACCGTGTTTATTAGTGTGCTGCTCTAACAGCCTCCACTCTCCTGGTTTCAGTCTTTCCTGCAGATGTTGAACCTGCTGCAGGGATTTAGTCTAGTTCAGACCACCAGAGCATCAGTGAGGTCCAACACTGATGTTGGTCTTATCTCGTCTGGTTCACAGTCAGTGATGAATGGGGTTGAGGTCAGGACTCTATGCACACCAGACACACCACACCAAACTTTCTTTATGGGGCTGCTTGGTGCTCGGGGACATCAGCAAGTTGGAACACAAAAGGACCCAAAACTGACTCAAGAACCCTGTTGTCTGAAATATAATTGTTCATTGTAGCTAGGATTCCCAAATCAGGAAAAACACTAAAGTATGTGAACATGCTGTCGAAGGTGCCAGTACCCTAATTGGAGGATGGCGTTATGTAATAACAGGTAAAGGTGTCATAAAATGTTTGGGTAGGAGCATTTCCTGGACTCGAATTGAGTTTGTTTGACGCGCTCTTTGGATAAAGACACAAGTGCACACAAAAATCACAAGAAAACCCCAAGGAACTCTACTTTTAAACAATTAAAATGCCTTCATTTTCACAGCATGTTCAAGGCAGACTTAAAAACAAACTTCCGTCGTGTTTTGGCATCAAGCCTTTGTCGATGCAAGGAGATTTAAGGGTACTCGTTGACAAAAATCGGAAGTGCCGGTGAGTACGAGCTCTTTTCAGGCTCTGATCGGAACAATGGTGGAAATGTTATAGATTATAGCTTTAAGCTGTTGTGGTCTGTGCAGACTAATGTGCTGTTTCAGGTGTTGGTGAAATAGAAAAAGGTTCTAATTATGGGGTTGAGATCTTCTGTCTGTCTCCGTCGCAGCCTATAAAAACCCATAAACACCTTTTTCATTCAGATGAGATACATGACAAAACAATCTTCTCCGACTGCTGAAGGCAAACTGAGCTCAGGATAAATAATGTTAATTTATGTGGATAATAATATCCACTCTACGAGAATGGGCCAGAAATAAAATAAAGATCGTTTCATTAGCTTTGATAGCATGTTAGTGGCTAAAGCTGAAGGCATGCTAAAATGCTTAAATGAGTATTCAGCAAACAAACACAAAACCTGTTTAACTGTTTCTTGTGTTGTATTGTTTATGCTTGTTTATGTGTGTGTCTATTTTTACTCATCAGCGTGCTTTCAGTTTGAATCAATCGGCTCTGATTAGCTCTACTTCCCCCCCCACATCCTCCTCCTCACCCCGTCCCTCCCCCTACAGGCTCCTCTGTCCCCTGTCGGGTCTCAACCTCTTCGCCCCAAGAGGTCTCTTTAATTGCCACTGTAGACAGGGAGTGTGCATCTGTGTGTGTGTGTGTGTGTGTGTGTGTGTGCACCGGCGAGAGAGTGAGTGAGCGTGAAGAGCTGCTGCCATGGCAACAACATCAATGATAATACAAGCTGTAGCCCAGAAGTCTGTGTGTGTCTGTCTTTTCTGTTCCTCTCAGCAGCTTGTTGACGGAAAGCAGAACATCATGTTACACTGCAGCACTGACATACAACTGTATGTTATATTATACCTTATATTACATTATACTTTATATTATACTTTATATTACAGTACATTTTATATTATACTTTATATTATACGTTATATTACAGTACGTTATGTTATACTTTATATTACAGTACGTTTTTTTATATATATATATATATATATATATATATATTCACTACAGCCACATTCACCCTTTCACACACATTCACTCAGTGAGCAAAGCCCATCGAACAGAAACTAACTCATTCATTCACATTCTCACACCGATGCATCAGGAGCAATTTGGAGTTCAGTATCTTGCTCAAGGATACTACCGGGGATCGAACCACCTCTGAGCCACAGCCGCCACCAAATTTACAATACTATATATATAATAACATACAATGTTATGTTACAGTACGTTACAGTATATTATATTACATATGTTATGTCATGTCATGACATATGTGTACAGTTATGTATAATCCTAACCTAAATTATATAATATTACCTCATCTTACTTTACAGTATATTATATAACATGTATTGTATAATTATGGTATGGTATAAAGTATAATATATTACATATTTTATGTTATAGTAACATGACAAACGTCAAAACAGTAATATGCTAACACGCTAAGACGTGTTATCATGGGTCAACAAATTGCACACTTTCAGCTTAAAGCTATAATATGTAACGTTTCCACATTAAAATGTCTAATTTCCAGACCTATGTTATATATGTTGTTGAGAACTTACATTATCTCATATGTTTCAAACACAGAGATTTCTATATGTAATAATATTCTGGTACCGGTGCGTTTCCTTGCTTCCCTTTAGATGCTATAACTTCCAGGTAAACGCGGGATAAGTTGGATACGTTGGAGAGGGAGGAAGGAAGTTGGCGAAGATGAATAAAACTTTCATGTGTTAACTTGTCCGTTAACGATTTCAATCAAATTATAAACTGTACGTTTAACTTTCTGTTCCATAATGTATTTTCTTTTGGATGATTTAAGTCTGTTTAAACCAGAAACATTTGAATGTGTCTGCTGTTGGACCGTTCAACATCTCGTGTCAGAACTCATTCCCTTGTAGAATATCTATGAGACAAACATGAATCCATCCTCACCCAGATCTGCAGTTTGATCCTCTTGTCGTTGCGATACACCGTCTTCACCTTGAAGTCGATGCCGACGGTGCTGACGAAGGAGTTGCTGAAGGAGTCGTCGGCGTAGCGGAACAGGAACGACGTTTTCCCGACGCTGCTGTTGCCGATGATCAGCAGCTTGAACATGTAGTCAAAGTTCTGGTCGGAGCCGTCCCGCTGGCCAAAACGCTGGTCTGCCTTCGCCATCTGGAAGGTTTGATGAGAAAAATCAAAAAACAAAGAACACAATTAGTGAAAATCTGTCTAATCAAAGTCGACCCGGGATATCCAACTCCCTTTTCACAATCTGGGTTTCAGTTTCAGTGGTTGCTGATGTCTTTATAATATTTTCCTCCTACTCCACAAAAATGCAATGTAGTATCTCAGTAGTCGTCAACGGATGCTGCCGCTGCAATGTGTAAATATATCCACTGTACAGTTCCCTCAAAAACTCCATAATGTAACAAATAAAGTCAGTGGTGTCTGTCTGCTAACAACATTAGACTTATTCAGTCACTTATATAATTATACTATAGGTTAGCATTGCAGCTAGTCTCATTCTTTTGTTGGACTGGAAGACACGGTGACCATTTTTATTGTAGTGTTATTTCCTTAGTAATTAAAATACAGAAAATACCAAACTTCTTTAAAAACGTCCAAACTCTTGAAACCAAACCAACACCTGCACATAACACATGACCTGCTGTAATCCCCTAATATACAGCTAATGGTGACATTATCAACAACACAGCTGTGGAAATAAAATGTTGTGAATACGACCAACACATTTTTTCTCTTTCAATTTCACATATTTACATGTTTTGTATAAGTAAATAAAGTTGTGTTTTTGTGTTGGAAAGTGTACAGATAGCCTGTGTTCCTGCCCAATCTCACTATTGCTCTTCATTAGTGATTTTTTTTGTAAAATTTTCGTGTACTGAGGTACGTTAATGGTAACAACTTTCTTTTGCTGACGTTATCTGAAAACTATGCTGTCTCACTCATATATGCTTATAGATCGCCACAGGTACTCATCCGACTGCATCCAGAAGATAATTCAAATGTCTTTTTTCACTTCACATTATTTGCTCCTCTTAAACCATTTCTAAAACCTCCTCTTTGTTCCATCTGACATTTTATACGTTTTCTCCCGACTGCGACGATGAGCTGCAGCCAAATGTGATTCAGCACAAAGAGCCACCAAACAACCCACAGTGTGTTAAACAAAGACACAGCGCAAACAAACATTTCCTGTTAGACTTCACCTGTCGAGTCAGATGAAGTCAAATAAAAGCCTGCGCTGCCTCTCTGGAGGAGCTTGCAGTCGGGTAGCAGCCGCTGTGTGTGTGAATGCTCAATGAATGTGAGCAGCAGATGAGTCAGAGCTGAAGATCCTGCTGGGTTCAATCTAGCGTGGACGGCTGTGTCGGTACAGACTCATCCTCTCCATCAGGGACCGGAGGAGGAAGAAACGACCACGAAATACATCTGAAATGATGATTCTAGCTGTGGGGAATGCTACACTGACTTTAATAAACCGTGGAGGTTTATAAGACTATAAAATATAATGTTTGTCAAGAGTTTTTTAATTGATTCAACACAGTTTCTGCACTTAAATTAAATAATGTTTGTCTCTCACTCTGCTTTTGCTTTCTATTCAAGACATGTCATGTTTTTCTATTGTTCATGAGACAGAGACAGAGTGTCCCAATTATACTCATCTTAACCATGTTCACAATGGAAAATGTCAAAATGGAGTATACTGACAAAAACTGGCAGCTTATCAAACTAAACTCACAGGATGTTTTAATGTGCTGTTGATTGAGAGTGACTGCTGGAAACAGTTAAAGCCTCATATTAAGTTTCAGACACGCAAAAGTTTCATTACATTTCCATACAAAAAATATTCTGTTCCTGCCCTTATTCTGAAACAGCATACTCCTAATAATGTTTACGCTGCTATTTTCCACAAATATTACACGCAGTGATCACTGTTTGTCCGTTCTGGGCTGGCGGACTCCACCAGAAGACGACCCGCTCCCTCTGGAGATAAAAACCTCTCATTCTAAGGTAACGAAAACACAACGATTCTTATATTCAGGTGATTAAACACTAATGAAAACATCCCTATCTATATTAATATTATATTATATTTCTAACAATAGCTAAATGTTGTACACTGGACCTTAAAACTTACTACAAACTACAGAGACATTACAGCGGACACAGTGAACGCTGGAGAGCCACAGATGCAGCATAAATCCTACATTAATAACACCCAGGGGCGGATCTACAGGGGAGGCAGCTGCTGCCCCAAATTGGTGCCAAATGCTGTCAAATTTAATATTTCAAAATAATTTAATGATCTGATTTGGACACTTTTTTAACAAAGTTCAATTAAAACTTTTTTCATTGGAAAAATGTCTGAAGATTTGGAATTAAAACTATAGATTTATATGTATCTAATGGCGCCTTTAGATATTTCTATTCAGTGCTTTACTAATGTGCCACATTGATGTTTTTGTGTTCAAATATCTTCATTTGGGGGCTTTTCCAAACAAATACTGATATATGTGATTGTTTGTGATTAAATCTGAATATATTTCTGCCACCCTCTGAACACCACATGAATATTTCTGTATAGATCCGCCCCTCATACACCACAATTGAAATCACAGCCAAAAATATGGAAGCCTGTAAGCCTGCCGCTTATTATCGCATAATTAAAACCTTTTATCTCACATTTTTTACTTTTTATCTCACAATTATGACTTACCTTGGCGATATTTTCATTATGATTAAGCATCATTAAGTTTTTATTATTATTTTATTTTACTGGCAGAAATGGGCTTCCATACATAAAGAATTCACATGGAAGTATTATGAAGATAAAAGCACCAAACAGCAGGAACACAATGTATAATTATAATATAGACACACAGTGAACGTGACATATAGTGACATATAATCATTATTAAAATACTCCATAAGACTGTAGATTCACAGTTATATCAGATGAATGACTCAGGCTCAGCTCCCTACAGAGAGCCACAGACAGGCTGCACCTGTGAGATTATTATGGGATATTATAGGCCGACATATGTAAAGGGTCCATTAAAGAACAGGACGGAGGTGGTGTAGAAAACTGACAACCAATACTGAATCAATGATCAATGTTATGTGAACACTATTGCGGATATTAAAGGACGAAACAAACTCTTCATTTAAGAAGATTTGAGGAATAAATCGGCTCCATCGGCTCAGGTGTGACCGACGTTTCTGGACTCTGATCAGTCAGCATCAGGCCTGTCTGTGTGCATTAAACCGGTGTCACCGCCGGTCATCCGTGTTTTCTGTCTGTCTGTCTGTCTGTCTGTCTGTGTGTCTGTCTGTCTGTGTCTTACCTCTGCTGGGCGGATCTGATGCTCTCTCTCTGCTCTGCACCTGATGGAGACAGCTCGCTCGGTGTCCGCGCTCCCACCCAAAATGGAAACAATAATAAAAGCTCCACGAATGTGTCCTCAACGATCCGATCCCCCGAGGGTCTGTGAGGAGCTCCGGGAGCACCGGCTGCGTCGTTCGCAGTGAGCTGAGTGGAATTTTTCTCTCCAGAAACGGGGTGAAATTGGCTGTAAAACGTCTCTTTTCCGCGACGCAGCCTCTTTACGCACCGGCTTTACGCTGACATCCTGCGTTGATTCAAGGTGGAGCGAAGCGATGTGGGAATATTTGCAAAGGCGTCTGCAGCCTGTCACCTCCTCCCCCTAAAAATAACCACCACCGGCGTCTCTGTGAATGAACAGCGTTTTATTTTTGCCCCTCCTCGGGCAGTTTGCAGGCGGATCCTTCGACCTATCAGCAGCCGCGTTTCTGCAGACGCGCAGCTCGTTTTGCTCACTATGACTCATAACTGAGGCAGTGAGGCGTGTAATTGCTTCAGCATCAATAACAGAGACATCGGCATGGAAACAGAACAAATCTGCAACAGCAAACATATAGCACACACACACACACACACACACACACACACACACACACACACACAATGTTGCACCATCCCAACTCTTCAGTGGTCAGATAGAGCTCGATCACTGAACTCAACCTGCCTTTATTTGGCCTTTCATTCCTTTTGCACAATCTCTGCAGCAAAGATGGGAAATGTTACCAAACTGATTATTTAAACCAGAATGAATATTTCTCATTTAATGATGTCTTGGTTGTGCTTCTCTCTTGTGGATCGTGTTTATTCTGGCAATTTTTAGACGCACATTAAAGTTAAAATAGTCTTACCGCTCATTAAAATGGCCGATCAAATCAACCAACTTCCTTCCTGATTGGTTAGTTTACTATGGCAGTAAATATGTTAACTAGTTATCAGTTGTCCTGTGAGGGAGCTACAGAGCAGGGCTGTACTGAGGAGTAAACTCAGTTATCAACCTCTTTGAAATGAAGCCAGAGTTTATTCATTGAGAGCTTCAACACAGTTTTTCTATTATTCTCATTTGATCTCTCGGTTGCAGACGCTGTATCGTTCCACAGCAGCACCAGCACACTTTACAGAGGTGGTTCTGAATGGACTGAGCCTGCAGAGAAGTGTCTGTGTGATCGTCTGATAAATCTGTTTGTAGTTAGCTGAGAAACTAAAGTGAAGCTTTAATTGAATCCAGATTCAGGTTTTATCTTACAAGCAAATATTCATTGATTGTATTTTCAGAAGTGTTACGGCAGCCACTGGCTGTCATTTAGTGTATATTCATTATGGTGTTTCATGTGATTCCCTGTTGAGGATTGGTCCTTCTGGAGCAGAGACCGCCTACTTCCTGGTTTCTGTCCCCTGGCATCAGTGATTGGTGTGGCTGCAATTCCACTGAAGCTACCAATCAGGAGTCTTCAATCAACCCCAGCTGCACTTAAATAGCTTGTGTGTCCACAGTTCAGGGCGGCTGTGAACTAGTGATCAGTTCGCCTCGCTGTTGGTTGCACACCATTGTGTTAGAGTGTCTGTACTTTCTAGTATTGCCTGGCTGTTATCTGAGTGGATTCAGCCAGTGCCTTTGTAATCTTTTGTGACCTTTAAGTTGCTCAATAATTGCTAGTTTGGTTTTTGTTCACTAGTTTGTAAGCTTATGGGTGCTGATCTCTTTTTGTTCTTCAGTATTATCCAGTCATTTTCATTTTGTGTACTAGTTATTTGTCAGCACCTGTATTGCCTCTCTTTTGTTATATTTCATTGTGCAAGCACACTCTCCTTAGTTAATTAAAACACCTGATTTTAACCTGAACCTGTCAATTGTTGTATTCCATCTCTTTTCCTTTTTCAATTGTATGTTACTGCTCTCCAAATCGAACTGGGTCGTAACAGAAGCTGATAGTATTGGTGGTAACATCCAGAAATACAACTTTATACATAAAATATGAACTTCCACAGTTATTAATGTGTAAATGAGCTGCAACACTCCATCGTTCCACAAGGTGGAGCTGTGACAGAAACAGAAATATCTAATTAAATGTCTCATAAATGTGTTCAGAATATGTAATAGTCCAGGTGGAGGAGGTCAGACAGTGTGACAGTGGAGCTGATCTCGGAGCAGTTCCGACTGCAGCACTGAGTCGTCTCCACTGGTTGTGATTCCTCTGTCAGTCACTGCTGGATGAAGCTCTCCTCTCCACTCTACCTCCCAGTAACATGGCCCAGTCAGAGCTGATGCTGCTGCTTCAACCTCTCTGGATCATCAGGACACAGCGGATCCTCCAACACAACCTCCTTCCTCACCACTCACAGTTAATGAGACCACTTCCATCTGAGGAGAGAAGGAGACGGAGGACAGCAGAGATAAATCAGTGTTTACAGAGACTCCCTCAATCAGCACATCCAGTATAAAGAGCAGCAGGGTCTGAACACATCATTACTGCAGAAACAGAGAGACATTCACTGCCCACTGGAATGATGCATTTACTGCTGTTAGGGTTCAAAGCTGATAAAAACCACAGTCTCAGTCACATTTGAATGTTTCATCTGAACTCTTACAGGACAAATGTGTAAATATTCAAACTATTTGGACAAACAAGAGACAAATGGACAGATATATATCTGATGTTAAAGGTCCTACATGTTCATACAAAGACTGAACAGCAACACATCAGCTGTGGGTACTGGACTCCAGCAGAGGTCCTGGTCTGTACAAAGACCACATGGTCACTAAATGTAATGATGGTTGTTTGCAGGCTTCAGTCAGACTGATCTCAGAGCTGTGACAAAGACCAACTGATCAGTTGTTTAGTGTAGAAATGAGAGAACAAACAGTGTGAGATCAGACTGGATGAATGAGGACCACTGTCTCTATACATCTTGTAATGCTGTCAGCTGGAATCCAGCTTTATTTCCTGAACACATGAACACAACAACAACAGTCGTCTTCACATCAACTCAAACACATGATCACAACAAGCTCCTGGCTCTCTGATTGGCTGACTGTTCTCTCTCTCTCTCTCTCTCTCTCTCTCTCTCTCTCTCTCTCTCTCTCTCTCTCTCTCTCTCTCTGTCTGTCTGTCTGTCTGTCTGTCTGTCTGTCTGTCTGTCTGTCTGTCTGTCTGTCTGTCTGTCTGTCTGTCTGTCTGTCTGTCTGTCTGTCTGTCTGTCTGTCTGTCCAATCCTGAAGCCTGTCCCCATTCTCCTCTCACAGCTTCACTGAGGAAAGCAGCAAATACTGGATCTGTGTTTAGTCCAAGACTGCTGGAACCAGCATGGACTGACTCAGACCCTCAACTGACCTCAGAGTCTGCAGTCTACAGTGTGGACTCTCCACAAGATCAGACAGCTGCTTCACTCCTGAATCCTCCATGTAGTTGTAATACAGGTCCAGCTCTCTCAGATGGGAGGGGTTGGACTTCAGAGCTGAGACCAGATAATAAGAGCTGATCTCTGACAAACTGCAGCGACTCAATCTGAATAAAGAATAAAAGATGTGAGTTTATAATGAAACAGTTCAGTCAGTAGAAGCATTATATAGTTTCATATTATTGGTGGAAAAATAAAATGCTGAATATATTTGTTATTGTCTGATGGTTGAAATAGAGATTATTGAACTACTCATTGTATGTCTGTATTTTTATTCTCATTGGTTAAAACCCTGATGTGGAATATCAGATTAAATCCAGAGCTGAAGAGGTTCACAGTGAATTATTCAGTGTAGATTCTTCTTGTTCTTTGAAGGTTTTAAATGTGGAGCTCAACATTGCTCTGCCACAGTCAATGGACTAAACCACTGAAGAAGAAAACAGCCTTTAGCATTAAGATACTCAGTGTGGATCAGTTTAATATCAACCTGTCTGCACTTTACTGTCAGCACAACTTAACATCACATTCATCTCAGCACAGAAATAAAAAATGGTGTCTGACCTCAGAGTCTCCAGTCTACAGTGTGGACTCTCCAGAAAACCACACAGCAGCTTCACTCCTGAATCCTGCAGCTTGTTGTTACTCAGGTCCAGCTCTCTCAGATGGGAGGGGTTGGACTTCAGAGCTGAGAGCAGAGAAGAACAGCTGATCTTTGACAAACTGCAGCCACTCAATCTGAATAAAGAATAAAAGATGTGAGTTTAGAAGACAATGTTCCTGCTTGAAATCATTCAGTGTTTAATAATCTGTTCAGAGCTGAAGAAGGTTTACAATGTACAAGTTTAGAAAATGGAAGCTCCAAACACCTGAACCCAAAAGGATGCAGGTTTTTGGGCGACTTTATAAAAGTTACAGCTGAAGATAGTCAACAGAGACACAAACAGAGACAGGAAGAGGCGGGGCAGGCTGATGTGTGAGAGAGACACCAGAGTAGGTGTGTGTGGAAAACAGTAACATTTGTGACGGTCCCTATCTAATGTTGATGTGCTGATGTGGTTGACCAGTTATTGTTTTTCCTATGTGTCCTTGAAGGTACCATGAGCAGATTACAGAGACAGATAAAAACCCTGTCTAAACTTTGCTCTCTCTCTCTCTCTCTCTCTCTCTCTCTCTGCGCGCGCATGCGGCTGCATCCCCGCCAGGAGCAGCAGCACATTCTCTTTGTTTGATTTCTGATTTGGTTTCACTTTACAACATTTACACCTCATATTGCTCACACATCCACATTTACATTACTGATGTTACTGACTGACACACTTCACTGTTGTACTTATAACCTCAGTTGTATGCCAAATTTGTCATAGCCTAGGAGCCGGGTTATGAGACATTACTGAAGAGAAAAGCAAGGTGATTAAAGTATTCAGAGAGTTAAGTAATGAAATAAGTCAAAAACAAAAGATATACAACTAATAAGGTGTAATGTAACAAAGTCTTTCAGATATTTTCAATAGATACACTAACTCCCACACAGACACTGACAACTCTTTGTGACTGCAGATTAAGTTTAGTTCAACTAACAAAAGAGGAACAAAAGGACATTTAAACTTTATGGATGTACGTTATGTACGAACATAAATTAGGTTCAACTGTTAATGAAAGATATCAGATCTACAACAGTAACAGAGAGTCAGTGAACTGACCTCAGAGTCTCCAGTCTACAGTGTGGACTCTCCAGAAAACCACATAGCAGCTTCACTCCTGAATCCTGCAGGTTGTTGTCACTCAGGTCCAGCTCTCTCAGATGGGAGGGGTTGGACTTCAGAGCTGAGACCAGAGAAAAACAGCTGATCTCTGACAAACTGCAGCCACTCAATCTGAATAAAGAATAAAAGATGTGAGTTTAGAAGACAATGTTCCTGCTTGAAATCATTCAGTGTTTAATAATCTGTTCAGAGCTGAAGAAGGTTTACAATGTACAAGTTTAGAAAATGGAAACTCCAAACACCTGAACCCAACAGGATGCAGGTTGCAAACTGTAAAATACAAAGAGTGAAAAAGAGCTCTCATTAATATTAATGACAACGTGCTGCTGCTTCAATAAAGACGTAGTGACTTCAGCTCTTAACCTCTGCCAGCTCCACCAGTGGCTCCATCTATACAAACTCATGTTGTGCAGCCAAACACAAAGAAAAACCCACAGAAACTGATTGAAGGTTCCACTCAAGATCCTAAAGTTTACAAAGATGTCAGAAAGAATTTTGGGGAAATGTGAACAAAAGACAGATACAATATTTCTTGAAGGAATAGTGGAGTCATAAAATCAGCTTCAGTTTAAACTATTCAGTCAGTAGAAGCAAAATGCTGGAAAATAAAATACTGAATATAGTTATTATTGTCTGATAGTTGAAATAGAGATTATTTATTTATTGTCATCATTTATTTTAAAACCCATGATGTGGAATATAAGATAAAATACAGGGTGAATTATTCAGTGTAAATTCTTCTTGTTCTATGAAGGTTTTAAATGTGGAGATCAACATTGCTCTGCCACTAGGGATGTCACAATACCTGAAATATTAATTCGATACCACAGTAAAAAACAACAAAACAATAAATCCTGTGTACTTCAACAGAGACTCCATCATAATGTCAGCCTTCTACAGACATCATCCAAATGTCAGAACAACATTCATACAGCTATTCATGTCAACACTGATCAATAACACACTATATTGATCCTTTAAACAGTTGCATATGGAAATATCAATATCAATGATCAGACATTGTTATTAAAAACACATTGAAATGAACAGAAAGCAAAGAAATATTTCTCCTTCAGTAAAGTTGATCAATGTAAACAAATATTAGTTCAGAGGATCTTCTGTATCCAGATGTGACCATTTACCAACAATGATAAACATTCATTTACTTTAACAACTAACAGCGGACATTTTCTACAGTTTCTGGAACAAACAGTGTTTCCCATTAATTAGTTAAACTATGGCGCCCCACCATGGTATCATTTCCCTCGCTGTAGTTTCATATTGAACCAGAAATATTTTTACACTTCTCTCTAACATTGTGTTTGTGCCGTTGCTTCAGCAAAGAATCTCTCACTCACAGTACAAATATCTTTGATTGATGAACTAGTGGACAATCTGCCTCACTGTGTCCCTCCTGTACAGACAGACAGACAGACAGACAGACAGACAGACAGACAGACACTGTCTGGAGCAGATACAGTTTGTTTTACCAGCACAGACCAGGTAAAGTAACATTGAACAGCAGTGAACTCATCAGTTGGAGCCAGTGTCACTGGTAACCTCGCTGTTTTCCATCATTATGATTGGCTCCCTCATTAACAACGAGCCTCCTTCACACGCGTCTCACCTGCTGTTATTAAAACGCAATCTCAGGTGTTTTTTGGGCGACTTTATAAAAGTTACAGCTGAAGATAGTCAACAGAGACACAAACAGAGACAGGAAGAGGCGGGGCAGGCTGATGTGTGAGAGAGACACCAGAGTAGGTGTGTGTGGAAAACAGTAACATTTGTGACGGTCCCTATCTAATGTTGATGTGCTGATGTGGTTGACCAGTTATTGTTTTTCCTATGTGTCCTTGAAGGTACCATGAGCAGAGTACAGAGACAGATAAAAACCCTGTCTAAACTTTGCTCTCTCTCTCTCTCTCTCTCTCTCTCTCTCTCTCTCTCTCTCGCGCGCATGCGGCTGCATCCCCGCCAGGAGCAGCAGCACATTCTCTTTGTTTGATTTCTGATTTGGTTTCACTTTACAACATTTACACCTCATATTGCTCACACATCCACATTTACATTACTGATGTTACTGACTGACACACTTCACTGTTGTACTTATAACCTCAGTTGTATGCCAAATTTGTCATAGCCTAGGAGCCGGGTTATGAGACATTACTGAAGAGAAAAGCAAGGTGATTAAAGTATTCAGAGAGTTAAGTAATGAAATAATTCAAAAACAAAAAAGATATACAACTAATAAGGTGTAATGTAACAAAGTCTTTCAGATATTTTCAATAGATACACTAACTCCCACACAGACACTGACAACTCTTTGTGACTGCAGATTAAGTTTAGTTCAACTAACAAAAGAGGAACAAAAGGACATTTAAACTTTATGGATGTACGTTATGTACGAACATAAATTAGGTTCAATCGTTAATGAAAGATATCAGATCTACAACAGTAACAGAGAGTCAGTGAACTGACCTCAGAGTCTCCAGTCTACAGTGTGGACTCTCCAGAAAACCACACAGCAGCTTCACTCCTGAATCCTGCAGGTTGTCGTTGTTACTCAGGTCCAGCTCTCTCAGATGGGAGGGGTTGGACTTCAGAGCTGAGACCAGAGAAGAACAGCTGATCTCTGACAACCTGCAGCCACTCAATCTGAATAAAGAATAAAAGATGTGAGTTTAGAAGACAATGTTCCTGCTTGAAATCATTCAGTGTTTAATAATCTGTTCAGAGCTGAAGAAGGTTTACAATGTACAAGTTTAGAAAATGGAAACTCCAAACACCTGAACCCAACAGGATGCAGGTTGCAAACTGTAAAATACAAAGAGTGAAAAAGAGCTCTCATTAATATTAATGACAACGTGCTGCTGCTTCAATAAAGACGTAGTGACTTCAGCTCTGAACCTCTGCAGCTCCACCAGTGGCTCCATCTATACAAACTCATGTTGTGCAGCCAAACACAAAAACCACAAAACCAGAGTTAAGTAATGAAATAGGTCAATAACAAAAGATATACAACTAATAAGGTGTAATGTAACAAAGTCTTTTAAGATAGTTTCAATAGATAAACTAACCCCCACCCACCCCCGTCACCCTCCACACCATATATAAACTATCATCCTGTGGGAGACACTGACAACTCTTCGTGACTGCAGATTAAGTTTAGTTCAATTTACAAAAGAGGAACAAAAAGACATTTAAACTTTATGGATATAAGTTATGTACGAACATAAATTAGGTTCAATCGTTAATGAAAGATATCAGATCTACAACAGTAACAGAGAGTCAGTGAACTGACCTCAGAGTCTCCAGTCTACAGTGTGGACTCTCCAGAAAACCACACAGCAGCTTCACTCCTGAATCCTTCAGCTTGTTGTCACTCAGGTCCAGCTCTCTCAGATGGGAGGGGTTGGACTTCAGAGCTGAGACCAGAGAAGAACAGCTGATCTCTGAAAACCAGCAGTAACTAAATCTGAATAAAGAATAAAAGATGTGAGTTTAGAAGACAATGTTCCTGCTTGAAATCATTCAGTGTTTAATAATCTGTTCAGAGCTGAAGAAGGTTTACAATGTACAAGTTTAGAAAATGGAAACTCCAAACACCTGAACCCAACAGGATGCAGGTTGCAAACTGTAAAATACAAAGAGGTAAAAAGAGCTCTCATTAATATTAATGACAACGTGCTGCTGCTTCAATAAAGACGTAGTGACTTCAGCTCTTAACCTCTGCCAGCTCCAATCCAATCCAATCCAATCCACTTTATTTATATAGCACGAATTTAACAAACACAAGGTTTCCAAAGTGCTGCACAAAAAGATATACAGAATAAATAAATAACACAATCGAAGATACACAATAAAAGATAAAAGCAATAAAATAAAATAAAATAAAATAAGTAAAATAAATAACAGAAATAAATAAAAAGCACTGCCCACACAAGATAAAAATATGCATGTGTACACATAGAATCAACGCTCTACATGGTATCAAAAGCCGAAGAGAAGAGGTGGGTTTTAAGAAGAGTTTTAAAATGAGACAGAGAGGTGGCCTGTCTAATGTGCAGCGGCAATCCATTCCAAAGTTTTGGAGCTGCAACGGCAAACGCTCGTTCCCCTCTGAGCTTAAGCCTAGCTTTAGGCACTGTCAGGAGCAGCTGGTCAGCTGACCTGAGAGAACGGCTGGGAGTGTAGGGGTGCAGCAGCTCAGAGAGGTAAGAAGGGGCAAGGCCATTCAAAGCTTTAAAAGCAAATAAAAGAATTTTAAAATGAATCCTAAAATGGACGGGCAACCAGTGGAGTGAAGCTAAAATAGGTGAAATGTGCTCATACTTGCGTGTGCCAGTTAAAAGACGTGCAGCAGCATTTTGTACCAGTTGAAGACGAGAAATGGAGGACCCACTAACCCCCATATAAAGTGCATTACAGTAATCCAGCCGAGTGGTCACAAAGGCGTGGATTACTGTCTCAAAGTGCTGTCTCTGAAGGACTGATTTGATTTTTGCCAGCTGCCTTAACTGGAAAAAGCTAGACTTTACCACAGCTTTAATCTGGCTGTCAAATTTAAGGTCTGTGTCAACTTTTACCCCAAGATTTTTTGCAATTGGTTTGCGATATTGCGCTAAAGAACCCAGATCAACTGGGGGGGTCACAGAAGTGCCACCAAAGACCATTACTTCTGTCTTTTTTTCATTAAAATTCAGAAAATTCAAAGACATCCAAGTTTTAAGGTCGTGTAAGCACTTTAGCAGTGGGTCAACAGAGTAGGATTCTGATTTTTGAGGGGGATATAGATCTGGCTGTCATCCGCATAACAGTGAAAAGAAATGCCATGTTTCCTGAGAATGGAACCAAGTGGGAGTAGATAAAGAGAAAATAAAAGAGGGCCAAGCACAGAGCCCTGTGGGACCCCACATGAGAGAGGAGCAGTGGAGGACACAGAGTCATCAAGGCTGACACAGAAAGTCCGATGTGACAGGTAGGACCTGAACCATTCCAGTGCTGAGCCACTGATGCCCACCCACTGCTCCAAACGAGCGATCAGGATTTCATGATCCACTGTATCAAATACTGCAGTCAATTCTAAAAGTACAAGGACAACACAGTGTCCAGAGTCAGTAGCTAAAAAGATATCATTAAAAACTCTTAAAAGCGCTGATTCTGTGCTGTGCAATGTTTTAAAACCGGATTGGAAAGTCTCAAGAATATTGTGTTCATTTAAAAAGTCCATGAGCTGGGAATAAACAATCTTCTCTAAGATTTTAGAGAAGAAAGGCAATTTGGATATAGGCCTGAAATTTGCCAAAACATTAGGATCCAGCCCAGGTTTTTTTAATGAAGGCTGCACAACTGCATGTTTAAGATTTACAGGGACTACTCCAGAGGACAGACTGCTATTAATAACTGTGAGACATGATGGCCCAATAGTGGGAAAAACCTCCTTGAATAACCGGGGCGGGACAGTATCATTCGGAGACCCTGAGGGCTTCAAATGACCCACAATCTCATGCACAAACAGCAGGGTCACAGGTTCAAAGGTTCTCCACCAGTGGCTCCATCTATACAAACTGTTCTATTCAGTCAGTAGAAGCAAAATGCTGGAAGATAAAATACTGAATATAGTTATTATTGTCTGATAGTTGAAATAGAGATTATTTATTTATTGTCATCATTTATTTCAAAACCCATGATGGGGAATATTAGATGGAAATACAGAGTGAATTATTCAGTGTAGATTCTTCTTGTTATATGAAGGTTTTAAATGTGGAGATCAACATTGCTCTGCCACTAGGGATGTCACAATACCTGAAATATTAATTCGATACCACAGTAAAAAACAACAAAACAATAAATCCTGTGTACTTCAACAGAGACTCCATCATAATGTCAGCCTTCTACAGACATCATCCAAATGTCAGAACAACATTCATACAGCTATTCATGTCAACACTGATCAATAACACACTATATTGATCCTTTAAAATGCTGCATTTGGAAATATCAATATCAATGATCGACCTTAATTGTGAAAAAACATTGAAATGAACAGAAAGCAAAGAAATATTTCTCCTTCAGTAAAGTTGATCAATGTAAACAAATATTAGTTCAGAGGATCTTCTGTATCCAGATGTGACCATTAACCAACAATGATAAACATTCATTTACTTTAACAACTAACAGTGGACATTTTCTACAGTTTCTGGAACAAACAGTGTTTCCCATTAATTAGTTAAACTATGGCGCCCCACCATGGTATCATTTCCCTCGCTGTAGTTTCATATTGAACCAGAAATATTTTTACACTTCTCTCTAACATTGTGTTTGTGCCGTTGCTTCAGCAAAGAATCTCTCACTCACAGTACAAATATCTTTGATTGATGATCTAGTGGACAATCTGCCTTACTGTGTCCCTCCTGTACAGACAGACAGACAGACAGACAGACAGACAGACAGACAGACAGACAGACACTCTCTGGAGCAGATACAGTTTGTTTTACCAGCACAGACCAGGTAAAGTAACAGTGAACAGCAGTGAACTCATCAGTTGGAGCCAGTGTCACTGGTAACCTCGCTGTTTTCCATCATTATGATTGGCTCCCTCATTAACAACGAGCCTCCTTCACACGCGGCTCACCTGCTGTTATTAAAACGCAATCTCAGGTTTTTTTTCAGGTGACTTTATAAATAATATTACAGCTGAAGAAAGTCAACAGAGACACAAACAGAGAGACAGAAAGAGGCGGGGCAGGCTGGTGTGTGTGGAAAACAGTAACATTACTGAAGAGAAAAGCAAGGTGATTAAAGTATTCAGAGAGTTAAGTAATGAAATAAGTCAAAAACAAAAGATATACAACTAATAAGGTGTAATGTGACCGAGTCTTTCAGATACTTTCAATAGATAAACTAACCCCCACCCACCCCCGTCACCCTCCACACCATATATAAACTATCATCCTGTGGGAGACACTGACAACTCTTTGTGACTGCAGATTAAGTTTAGTTCAACTAACAAAAGGACATTTAAACTTTATGGATATAAGTTATGTACGAACATAAATTAGGTTCAACTGTTAATGAAAGATATCAGATCTACAACAGTAACAGAGAGTCAGTGAACTGACCTCAGAGTCTCCAGTCTACAGTGTGGACTCTCCAGAAAACCACACAGCAGCTTCACTCCTGAATCCTTCAGGTTGTTGTCACTCAGGTCCAGCTCTCTCAGATGGGAGGGGTTGGACTTCAGAGCTGAGACCAGAGAAGAACAGCTGATCTCTGACAACCTGCAGTCCCTCAATCTGAATAAAGAATAAAAGATGTGAGTTTAGAAGACAATGTTCCTGCTTGAAATCATTCAGTGTTTAATAATCTGTTCAGAGCTGAAGAAGGTTTACAATGTACAAGTTTAGAAAATGGAAACTCCAAACACCTGAACCCAACAGGATGCAGGTTGCAAACTGTAAAATACAAAGAGTGAAAAAGAGCTCTCATTAATATTAATGACAACGTGCTGCTGCTTCAATAAAGACGTAGTGACTTCAGCTCTTAACATCTGCCAGCTCCACCAGTGGCTCCATCTATACAAACTCATGTTGTGCAGCCAAACACAAAAAAAAACCCACAGAAACTGATTGAAGGTTCCACTCAAGATCCTAAAGTTTACAAAGATGTCAGAAAGAATTTTGGGGAAATGTGAACAAAAGACATCTACAAAATTTCTCTAAGGAATAGTGGAGTCATAAAATCAGGTTCAGTTTAAACTATTCAGTCAGTAGAAGCAAAATGCTGGAAAATAAAATACTGAATATAGTTATTATTGTCTGATAGTTGAAATAGAGATTATTTATTTGTTGTCATTTATTTTAAAACCCATGATGGGGATTATAAAATGGAAATAAAGAGTGAATTATTCAGTGTAGATTCTTCTTGTTATATGAAGGTTTTAAATGTGGAGCTCAACATTGCTCTGCCACAGTCAATGGACTAAACCACAGAAGAAGAAAACAGCCTTTAGCATTAAGATACTCAGTGTGGATCAGTATAATATCAGCCTTATGTCTGCACTTTACTGTCAGCACAACTTAACATCACATTCATCTCAGCACAGAAATAAACAATGGTGTCTGACCTCAGAGTCTCCAGTCTACAGTGTGGACTCTCCAGAAAACCACACAGCAGCTTCACTCCTGAATCCTGCAGAGTGTTGTTACTCAGGTCCAGCTCTCTCAGATGGGAGGGGTTGGACTTCAGAGCTGAGACCAGAGAACAGCTGATCTCTGACAAACTGCAGCCACTCAATCTGAATAAAGAATAAAAGATGTGAGCTTAGAAGACAATGTTCCTGCTTGAAATCATTCAGTGTTTAATAATCTGTTCAGAGCTGAAGAAGGTTTACAATGTACAAGTTTAGAAAATGGAAACTCCAAACACCTGAACCCAACAGGATGCAGGTTGCAAACTGTAAAATACAAAGAGCTCTCATTAATATTAATGACAACGTGCTGCTGCTTCAATAAAGACGTAGTGACTTCAGCTCTTAACCTCTGCCAGCTCCACCAGTGGCTCCATCTATACAAACTCATGTTGAGCAGCCAATAACAAAAACCACAAAACCAGAGTTAAGTAATGAAATAAGTCAATAACAAAAGATATACAACTTGTAGAATATATTTGGATGCTGGCGTACACAGTCTGGCCTTAGTTTCCGGTAAGAAAAACTGCAGCTACTCCAGAGAATTATGGTTTCCTTCTTTATTAATTCCTCACATGAACAATGTACAGGATGTGTCTTGTTGTGGTTTCCTGAATTACACAAAATAAATAAACAGCAAATATATTATTATTTTAACAAAATAAAGCAATAAGACTGTGAACTAAACAGATACAGAGTACTATGCAGTAAAATAACATGAGGTCGGAATGACACTCCGTAATAGCCGCACGTGGGCGCCTCAGACTACATCATTACAATGTCATACACAACAACTGTACTAAACGTAAATGTCGTCGGGTGCAGAGCCCGTACGCAATATTAAACACACAATGAAATAGTATTATATGTCTAGAACATATATATAAGGGAATTCAAACATATTAACCAGACTCTGGTAATATATCTAATGTACAAAAAACCGTGTGTGCGTCAGTACCTTTACAACATAGCGGCTAACATAACAATAAACAGTGAATATAAACTTACTCTACACTCACGCACAACGGACACAAGTTATTTGGCTCTGCTCAACGCTCTCGTAACAGAGAAGGAGGTGTGCAGCACTCAACAGGTAACTTAGCTGCCGTCGGGACGGTTCTGACGTTCCTTCGGGACAACTCGGGTCCTTCCGGTTGCGATCGGCTCTTCCCGTACACGGCAGAGCAGGGGAAGTTTGCACAGCCGCCCCCAAATTCACCTAGTGAATTTGCAGTTTCACAAAGGTCCCTGCTGTGTTGTAAGATCAGTCTCAGTCCTCTGGCATTTCTGGCAGAGGATGAGTTTAGCCACTGGCCGTGTGTATGTAGACCCTTTAATGTTCACCTCAGCTGTGCGTATCCGGCCGTCATCACTGGGGATGACTTTGGTGACTCGTCCAACTGGCCACAGTGCTCTTGGCAGCTGTGGGTCAATGATCATGACCACCTGATCTGGAGTGAGGTCCACAGTAGAACTATGCCACTTCCGACGATGTTGAAGGTTGGGGAGATAGTTCCTTGTGAACTGGAGCCAGAAGTGATCTGCCAGCACCTGGCTGTGTTTCCAGCGACGACGTCCAAGCAGGTCACTGTTGTGATACACGACTTGTGGTAGTGATGCATCCCGCCGCCCCATGAGTAGGAGATTTGGCGTTATGGGGTCAGGATCTGCGATGTCTGATGTAGCATAACGAAGGGGCTTTGAGTTAAGAATACCCTCAACTTCTATCAGGACCGTCATGAGGACTTCCTCTGGGAGCACTTGGTCTTTCAAGACTACTTGCAGGGATGCTTTAACAGATTTGATCTCTCTCTCCCAAACACCGCCAAAATGAGGTGCTAATGGTGGATTGAATCGGAAGTTGATGCTCTGCTCAGCAAGCTGATCCTTTAGTGATGGCTCAAGTGCGGCGAAGGCTTCTTGCAGCTCTCTGTCTCCTCCCCGGAAATTAGTGCCTCGGTCACAGAGAATCTCAAACGGCTTCCCTCTTCTTGTCACAAAGCGCCGTAAGGCGAGCAAAAAGGAGTCAGTGTCCATGCAGCACAAAAGGTCCAGATGCACACACCGAGTGGTGAGGCATTTAAAGACAATACCCCACCTCTTCTCATGTCTGCGGCCTATTTTGATGGTGTACGGGCCGAAACAATCCACGCCGGTAGACCAGTATGGCGGTTGGTTGATGCGCAACCGTGCAACTGGCAGGTCGGCCATCTGGGGAATGACAGGTTTGCTGCGCCATTTGCGGCACTCTGTGCAGCTATGCTGATGTTTCTTGACAGCTTGACATCCATGAATAATCCAGTATGTCCTCCTTATTTCTGCAAATACACGGTCAGGACCTGCATGAAGCAACCGGTTGTCATAATCCTGTATGAGCAACCGCGTGACATGGTGGTTTGGTGCCAGGATGATAGGATGGATGGTGTCCTCCCCCTAGATTCTCTGCCTTTCGAAGTCGACCTCCGACCCTTATCAACTCCACATTTTCGTCGTAGACAGGGGATAGAGACAGCAAGCTGCTATTAGAGCTGAGAGGTTTACCAGCTTGCAGGGCAGTAAACTCCGCCGGGAAACACTCCTGTTGTGCTCTCTTCAAGATGACAACTTCTGTATTGACTCTGTCGGCTGCAGTCATGGGAGGAGCAGCCGCCCCGTGTAGGGACTGGAATGTGGCACCTACCAGTTCTGACCAGGAGTTCACCTGAGTTACATCTGGGACTGGAAGGCTGCTTACTGTGATATTACCACAGAAGATGGTATCACGTGTTTCTTCAGCTGGTGTAGGTGTGTAACTTACAGCAGGATCAGTTGGCCACTCGGCTTGAGGCTGGTGGAGAAGGGTCGGACCACATGTCCAGCGATTTGGCTTTACTAGTTCCGCCAGGGATTTCCCACGGGTGATATCGTCAGCAGGATTCTCTTCCGAGGGAACATGTCTCCATTTGTCTGCTCCAACTAGCTCTTGGATCTCTGCTATCCGTGTCCCCACAAACACCTTGTACTGCTGAGATTCAGACTGGATCCAGTGTAAAACAGTCGTGGAATCAGTCCACAGTATTGTTTTATTTACTGGTAGTGTCAACTCTGTGTGTAAGACCTTGGCTAACTGTGCGCCTGACAGGGCCGCACACAGCTCGAGACGAGGTATTGATAATTGTTTCTTCGGTGCTACACGAGACCTTGCCATCACAAATGCCACCTGTACCTTTCCTTCACTGTCTTCAACCCTCATGTATGCTACAGCACCATAGGCTTTCTCTGAGGGGTCGCAGAAGATGTGTAGTTCAACAGGAGTGTCAGTAGGAACGTTAGCGGTGTAGCAACGTGGCAGTGTGACGTATTGAAGCTGGGGGAGCTCGTTCTCCCACGCTTGCCATACAGGGAGGAGACGGTCCACAATGGGCTCATCCCATCCTCTTTCTTGTCTCCATAGGGCTTGAACTATGACCTTGGCACGTGTGGTATACGGTATGATGTAGCCCAGAGGGTCGTATTGACTGGCTAGAACCCGGTATACATATCTCATGGTCGGGTCGGTCGCTGGGATGGTTCGGTGTTTGTATCCAAGAGTGTCAGGTCTGCAGCGCCACAGGAGACCGAGTGTTGACTCCTGTGGGTCGGTCTTATTTGCAGTCAGCCATAACTCACATCCTGCTGATTTGGCTTCGGGAGGTAGATGTGCAATAACCTCAGGCATGTTGCTGGACCACTGTCTCATATCAAAACCTCCACTGGCAAGGAGAGCTCTCATCTTGTCAATGAGCTGTCTGGCTTGATCCGGAGACGGCAGAGACAGGAGACAATTGTCTACATAAAATGATTGCAGCACAGATTGGACCACGTCTTCATTGCCCTCACTGTGATCTTGCACATGACGCTGCAAAGCATAGGTTGCACAGCATGGGCTACAGGTCGTCCCAAATGGCAAAACACGCCACTCGTAGACATCTGGGCTGTGCTCTTTCTCACCATCACGCCACAGGAAGCGAAGGAGTGGCTGGTCTTCAGGGAGGAGACGCACCTGATGGAACATGCCGCGGATATCTCCACTGATGGCCACAGCTTGTTCTCTGAACCTCAGTAGTACACCAAGCACTGGTGCACTCAAGGTAGGACCAGGAAGCAGGTTGTTATTGAGGCAGGCTTGTTGATAGTTGAATGAACAGTTGAAGACAACTCTTGCTTTACCATTATGATAAACAAGATGGTGAGGGAGGAACCAGGACTCTCTTGACCTGCTCACCTTATCAGCGTTGATCTTGACAGCATATCCAGCCTTCTCCAATTTGTGTATCTCCCTCATTATACACTGAAGATTGTTCAGGGTTAGTAGCAAGGCGGCGCTCTGTTGCTCTGAGGAGAGCCATCACGGCCGTGGGTGGAGCATGGAGCGCGGGTGCATTTGGTTTACGCAACAATGGAGTAGCATAGCGGGACACACCGTCTACTGTGACTCTGATGGTCTTTTGCTCCAGTTGTTCCATAGCTGCTTTATCCTCGCCAGAGCGGATCACCTCCTTACTGTTTCTGAATGGCAATGTGTCTAGCTTCCAAAGTCTTTCAACATTTTGATGTAGTTCTTCAGAAGGGGAGAGGAATGAAGAATGAAGACAGCTGTTCTCACCTGATGAATGCTGCAGGAAGGTGGCAGGTCCCTGCACAGCCCATCCCAGAACCGTGCACACAGCTACAGGTCCACCGATTGGGCCAGACCGGACTGGGGATACTGGTGTTATCAGGTGAGGGTTGTCAGAACCAATGAGTAGCATAGGCTTGACTTTATTGTAGGAGAGCAGTGGAATGTCTCTCAAGTGCTGGTAGCTTCGTTTCAGGTTTTCAGCTGCACATGACTGTTCAGCCAGATTCAGCTCTGCTGCTGTGAAGGCATGTTGGATGTCATGTTTCATCCCTTTCTTCTTCAGGGGTGACACTTTGAGTGAGACTGTAGCTCCCTTTACCTGCACCTTGTCCTGTCTAATTGTCCTCAGGGACAAGATTTCTTCCTTTCCTTTGAGACCAAGGTGATGCACAGCAGCTGGTAATATGATTGTTCGTTCAGATCCGTCATCCAGAATAGCGTAAGTACTGAGTGTTTTCTTCCCATTGTGCAGGCGTACTGGAACAACCTTTAGCATCACTCGACCTGAATGGCTAATTTGGTCTGTGTAAATCATGCTGGGGGATGTACTCACTGTCAGGACAGTCTCTATTTGAGCCACATCATGGAGCACAGATAAGTGTTGTTCCCCACAAGTTGAACAGGGCTTCTTTAAGGTGCAGTTGTCAGATGTGTGTCCTCTCCCACACCTCCAGCATCTTTTCTTCTCCTTTATCCAGTCAGCCTTTGTATTGTTTGTGAGCTTAGCAAAGTCACTGCATGCGTTGAGGTAGAGTTCTTGGTTGTTACAGTAAGGGCAATAGGGCTTGAACCTATCACGCTTCTTAGACTGTGGTGGAGGGATTGATGCAGGAGCTGGATTATGTTGCTGAGCCCCCTGGTGGTTCCCGAGTGGAATAGTTGCAGACTTCACTCTTGGCTGCTTCACTGATCTGTACTCCCTGCTGTCAGCATGTGTGGATTCTGGTGGACGTGTACCTATTCGACGGGATACCTGCAGTGTCTGGACTTTCCTCTCAAGCCACTCTGCCAGATCTGGAAGAGTATATGTCCTCTCGCTACCACTCTGGATAATTCCCCTAGTGAAGCAGTATTCAGCGAAGGCATCTCTGAAGTTAGCAGGCAGCTTGGTGAGCAGTGTGTCAACATGAGAACCACACCGCAGCTCTGCAGATGAAGGACCTTGCATTGTGCTTAGCCTGCCCACTAGTGTTCCAACTGATGCTGCAAAATCTTCAATACCTTGATAGTCTCTGGCCTTCACTGGTGGAGCGTTTAGGATGGCATTGAGTTCTCCCTGCACAAGCTGTCTGGGCTGACCATATCTTTGAACTGTGGAGACTGCAGGTGGCACCAGTGAGGTAGAGGGATTTGGTGCTATCATGTTGACTGGAGGCACAGGTTGTGCAGGCAGGGCCCATGATACAGGGATTACCTGGTCAATAGGTGCTGATGGAACAGAGGCTGTGAAGTCCACTCGTGTCATTTGTGAAATAGGAGCAGATAGTATCGATTCAGCGTCTGAAGCTTGTTCCACATCGTCAACCGGCTGTGCAGCAGAATCTTGTTCCACAGCTTCTGTCAGTTCAGCAGAGAGTGCGTTTTGCATTGATGAGGCAGCAGCTGTGTCCTGATCTTGAGAGAGGGGCACCATTGGGGCTGGAATATGTGATGCAGATGGGTACTGTGCCATCCTAGTTGGACTGGGACACATGTTAATCCTCCCTAGATGGGGAAGGCTACTGTACTGAGGCATATCTGCAGCATTTTGGTGTGAGCGATATGTGGGTTGAGTATAGGCAAACTGAGGGTGAGGAGTTAGCCTCACATTGTCCATTTCAGCTTGCAGCTCTCTCATTTGGTGTCTCATAGTCTGCCAGCGTGCCTCTAAGCACTTAAGTCTATCATCAGGGCTCTTGTAGGACTGATATGTGGGCACTGGATATGGAAGGAGTCCTCCCATGTTGGGGGGCTGCTACATATGTTGTTGTCATCAATGACACTGTCCTTGTCATGGTGGGATGAAGGGGTTGGAACGGGTAGCTGAGCTCGTAGTCTTCCAGATGTCCGGGAATGCGTCGCACCCTGCTGGGACGGGGACTCGGTGGCTGCTGCCCATCGTAATATCCTCTGCTTGTAGCCATGGCGCAGCTTGTGTACATCCGGCTCGAAGGACCACTTGTAGAATATATTTGGATGCTGGCGTACACAGTCTGGCCTTAGTTTCCGGTAAGAAAAACTGCAGCTACTCCAGAGAATTATGGTTTCCTTCTTTATTAATTCCTCACATGAACAATGTACAGGATGTGTCTTGTTGTGGTTTCCTGAATTACACAAAATAAATAAACAGCAAATATATTATTATTTTGACGAAATAAAGCAATAAGACTGTGAACTAAACAGATACAGAGTACTATGCAGTAAAATAACATGAGGTCGGAATGACACTCCGTAATAGCCGCACGTGGGCGCCTCAGACCACATCATTACACTGTCATACACAACAACTGTACTAAACGTAAATGTCGTCGGGTGCAGAGCCCGTACGCAATATTAAACACACAATGAAATAGTATTATATGTCTAGAACATATATATAAGGGAATTCAAACATATTAACCAGACTCTGGTAATATATCTAATGTACAAAAAAAACGTGTGTGCGTCAGTACCTTTACAACATAGCGGCTAACATAACAATAAACAGTGAATATAAACTTACTCTGCACTCACGCACAACGGACACAAGTTATTTGGCTCTGCTCAACGCTCTCGTAACAGAGAAGGAGGTGTGCAGCACTCAACAGGTAACTTAGCTGCCGTCGGGACGGTTCTGACGTTCCTTCGGGACAACTCGGGTCCTTCCGGTTGCGATCGGCTCTTCCCGTACACGGCAGAGCAGGGAAGTTTGCACACAACTAATAAGGTGTAATGTAACAAAGTCTTTTAAGATAGTTTCAATAGATAAACTAACCCCCCACCCAACCCCCGTCACCCTCCACACCATATATAAACTATCATCATGTGGGAGACACTGACCACTCTTTGTGACTGCAGATTAAGTTTAGTTCAATTTACAAAAGAGGAACAAAAGGACGTTTAAACTTTATGGATGTACGTTATGTACGAACATAAATTAGGTTCAATTGTTAATGAAAGATATCAGATCTACAACAGTAACAGAGAGTCAGTGAACTGACCTCAGAGTCTCCAGTCTACAGTGTGGACTCTCCAGAAAACCACACAGCAGCTTCACTCCTAAATCCTTCAGATTGTTGTGATTCAGGTCCAGCTCTCTCAGATGGGAGGGGTTGGACTTCAGAGCTGAGCCCAGAGAAGAACAGCTGATCTCTGACAACCAGCAGTAACTAAATCTGAATAAAGAATAAAAGATGTGAGTTTAGAAGACAATGTTCCTGCTTGAAATCATTCAGTGTTTAATAATCTGTTCAGAGCTGAAGAAGGTTTACAATGTACAAGTTTAGAAAATGGAAACTCCAAACACCTGAACCCAACAGGATGCAGGTTGCAAACTGTAAAATACAAAGAGTGAAAAAGAGCTCTCATTAATATTAATGACAACGTGCTGCTGCTTCAATAAAGACGTAGTGACTTCAGCTCTTAACCTCTGCCAGCTCCACCAGTGGCTCCATCTATACAAACTCATGTTGTGCAGCCAAAAACAAAGAAAACTCATTTCCTCAAGATCCTAAAGTTTACAATGATGTGAGAATGAATTTTGGGGAAATGTGAACAAAAGACATCCACAATATTTCTTTTAGTAATAGTGGAGTCATAAAATCAAATCAGCTTCAGTTTAAACTATTCAGTCAGTTTAAGCAAAATGCTGGAAAATAAATTCTGAATATAATTATTATTGTCTGATAGTTGAAATAGAGATTATTTATTTATTGTCATAATTTATTTTCAAACCCATGATGGGGAATACAAGATAAAATAAAGAGTGAATTATCCAGGAGGAGTCATGTGGGCACGGCGAACAAGATGGCAGCTGATTAGGGATCCTTCGCTCTCCGACGGGTAAATTTGTGATGATACCAAAGTATAGGCTCAAGTTATATTACAATACTACCCACGTTGCGAAGAGAAAACAGCTGGCGCTATTTTGGAAAATTGAAATAACCGAAATTAAGCGAAAATGGCCACGTTGAAATATTTCAAAGGTACAGGCCGCTACTCGAAAAAGCCCTCCACATGAAGAAGAAGGCCCATTACTAAAATGAGCAGCACACTGCAGAGTGTTACTACAGTCGTCTCAACTATTAAAGAGACGACAAAAGAGTTGAAAGCGACAGTGACGGCTATGCAAGAGAGTCTGGGGGAAGTAGAAACGTGCATTGAGCGCCTAGAGGAGACCTCAGAGCGGCTACACACTGATGGAGACAAGAGAAATAAGCTGATGGATGTAATGTGGGACTGCATTCAAGCCCTGGAAAATCACAGCAAAAGGAACAACGTGAGGCTCATAGGCCTGAAAGACACTTTTGGGACCAATGGGACATTGTTGAGCTCCGGGTGGATGCCGAGTTTGAGATTGAGAGAGCACACCGGTTGCTCGCACCGATGCCGGACCCGGAGCGGCCTCCACGACCGGTGCTGATACGGTTCCTGAGACAGTCAGCGAGGGACAAAGTGATAATGGCAGCTAAAGAAAATCGGGGCTTCGTATGGGAAGGATGCCGACTATCTGTATTCCCCGATATGACAAAAGAGTTGGTGGAGAAGGGGAAAACCTTCACCTCGGTGAAGCGTAAACTGCAGGAGCGGGAGGTGAAGTACACGCTGGCCTTCCCGGCCACACTGAGGTTCAAGTGACAGGGGAAGAATGTGCATTTCACTATTTCACATACAGAAAACCCACCTTAATGAGGGCGAGGCGGCTAGATTCAAAACAGGCTGGGTGAGGCATGTTTTTCACAGCTCACTCTCAAGTTCACGAAACGGAGTTATGATTTTGGTTAACAGGAGGATACATTTTGTGTTGCTTAAAGAGGTTAAAGATACAGAGGGAAGAATGATATGTGTGCAGGCACTAATAGAGGGTATGCAGGTGATATTATGTAATATTTATGCACCTAATAAGGGACACCCACACTTTTTTCATGAAGTGAATAGGGTTCTAGGGGAAATGGATGGGCAAATAATACTGGCAGGAGACTTTAACCAAGTGATGGACCCTATTTTAGACAAGAGTCAGTTTAAAGGTCCACTGATGACTAAAGACAGGGAAGCAATTCATATGTTAAAAGATGACATGGCGCTTGTGGATGTCTGGAGGCTTACTAACCCTCGGGAGAGGGAGTACACGTTTTTTTCTCATTGTCATAAGTCACACTCCAGAATTGACTTTTTCTTAATTGCAAGCCCTTTAGTAAACAGTGTAGTTAGTTGCAGTATAAGAACTATTGCTATCACAGATCATGTAGCGGTGGAATTATGTATAGACACAGAATTGGACATGGGTAAGAGGACTAGATGGAGAATAAATACATCATTATTACAGGACAAAGGCTTTAGGACATTGTTGGGAGAGGATTTGAAATCTTTTTTTGAATTAAACATTGGCAGCACTAAGGAAATTGCAACAGTTTGGGAGGCCTCTAAAGCATATATAAGAGAGAAATTAATAGCTTGCTCTTCTCAAAACAAAAAAGAGAGCCTAAACAGAATCAAGGAATTAGAAGGTGAAATTAAATTAAAGGAAAAGGATTTAGTAAGCTTAAGTTTCAGCTGCATGAAATCGTTAACAAAAAAGGAGAATACTCCTTATACAGATGAAAAACAATTTTTTATGAAGGTGGGGAAAAAACTGGGAAAATATTAGCTAGACAAGTGAAAGAAAAAGACTCCTCAAATAAATTAGTAACCTTCAACAATATTACAAGAAACAGTAGACATCATCGGTATCTTGCGATGACAACCAAATAAATTATTTCTTCTTTGACATTAATATGCCTAAGCTCGCTCACGCAAGGAAGTTAGAGTCGCCTATAACTGTAGCAGAAATAAGGAAAGCTGTGTCATTAATGAACACTGGGAAATCACCAGGTTATGATGGATTTCCTATGGAATATTATAAAAAGTACATAGACATTCTTGCCCCAGTCTTGGTGAAGGTGTATCAGGAGGCATTTGAAAAAGGCCACATGCTGCCAACATTTAATGAAGCTTTAATATCTCTGAGTCCAAAGAAAGACAGAGACATAACAGACCCATCAAATTTTAGACCTATTAGCCTGCTCAATCTGGACCTTAAAATATTGACAAAAGTGCTGGTGCTACGACTTCAACAAGTTTTACCCAATATTATACATCCTAATCAAGCAGGCTTTATGAAGAACAGATCCTGATGAGTGTGATTGCTTGTGTGCTGAGGGAACCCCGACTGTAGCCCGACGTGCTACAGCGCCACAGGAACGCTGCACAGCCTCACAATTTTATAGACTAACAAACTATTCAGTAAGTGGTGAGTCCTCTAATGTGAAATTGTTATGGCAGAGAGACCTGAGAATAACCTTTACACAGGAGAAATGGTTGGGTGTACTAGCAGACTGTGGAAAGTATGTAAGGGAAGCAAGAAGGAAGTTCACACAATATAAGATCATGCATAGATATTATCATACCCCTGTGAGATTACATAGAATGAAATTGATGAATGATAATATGTGTTGGAAGTGTAAAACTTTTCTTCACTGTGTATGGGAATGTGCATTAGTGAGCCCATTTTGGGTTAAAGTGGTGGACTTCCTGAGTAACTGGTCAGGTTCAGTGATTCCCCTGACTCCTGCCGTATGTTTACTAGGGGACAGATCACAAATACCGAATATATCAAAAAGAACTTTTTCTGTCATTATGGTGGGCTTGGTCACAGCCTCCAGAATTATCTTAAGACACTGGAGAACGGCGTCTCCTAATCTGAAAGACTGGACTAATTCAATGGTGGAGACAGCATCTTATGAGTCTATGCCCCACAAACTGTTGGCTAACAAGGAAGATGGGATGACCTCTTGGGATCTTTTTTGGACCTACACAAGGACTAATGAAAACTCAGCCTAAGAAATCAGAGACTAAATACAGCATAGCTTCTTTGTCCTTCTGTAGACTGGTTTCCCCCTTATATTTCTTACTTTATTTTTCAAGTTTTATTTTTCCTCTGTAACAGGTCATATGTTTATGCCAAGATTCCGAAATGTATGACCAACCCTGTACTCATATACTCTGCTATTAAGAATTCAATAAAAAATGTAAATGAGAAAATAAAGAGTGAATTATTCAGTGTAGATTCTTCTTGTTATATGAAGGTTTTAAATGTGGAGCTCAACATTGCTCTGCCACAGTCAATGGACTAAACCACTGAAGAAGAAAGCAGCCTTTAGCATTAAGATACTCAGTGTGGATCAGTATAATATCAGCCTTATGTCTGCACTTTACTGTCAGCACAACTTTCACATCACATTCATCTCAGCACAGAAATAAAACATGGTGTCTGACCTCAGAGTCTCCAGTCTACAGTGTGGACTCTCCAGAAAACCACACAGCAGCTTCACTCCTGAATCCTTCAGGTTGTTGTAACTCAGCTCCAGCTCTCTCAGATGGGAGGGGTTGGACTTCAGAGCTGAGACCAGAGAAGAACAGCTGATCTCTGACAAACTGCAGCCACTCAATCTGAATAAAGAATAAAAGATGTGAGTTTAGAAGACAATGTTCCTGCTTGAAATCATTCAGTGTTTAATAATCTGTTCAGAGCTGAAGAAGGTTTAGAGAAACAGCGCTCCGTCATCAACTCTCTCCTGTGTGTGTGTGTGTGTGTGTGTGTGTGTGTGTGTGTGTGTGTGTGTGCAGGAGTTTAGCTAAGGCAGTCTCTGTGTCTGAGACCCGCACATTCACCACACCACTGCAAGTGCAACAAAAATACAATTCTTTCTTAATGCAGTGCAGCTGTTCACCTGTATTATTGAGGAAAATACAATTATTGTATCAGGACTCAGTATCAGCAGATATTAAATGGGTGTCGGGGGGGGGAACTTGACATTTTTACTGTGGTACTGAATTGGTATAGAGAATTATTGAATTTCACTGGTATTGGTATCGACTTTTACATTTCTGGTATCATGCCTGTAAATATTAGTCTTGTTTTATTTTGTGATCAGTTTTACTCGTGTTACTTCCTGTTTTATTTTGTAATTTTCCTCCTCTTGTGTGTTACTTTATTTCCTGTCTTTTTCCCACCATTTCTGATTGTTTGCCCCGCCTTGATTGTGTTCACCTGTGTTAGTTTTCCCCTCACTAATTATTGCCTGTGCTTCATTCTCTCTGTGCCAGTTCGTCGTTGTAAATTCATTATTGAATAATCCAGAATATGATCATGGTGTCTTTTACACATTGGGAAATATTTATTAGGCTCAATGTTTCAGGAACACAGTACAGGGAGTCTAGTATCTTGTGTTTCACGGAAACATGGCTACACGAGCAGATACCGGACTCCAACATTAACATTCCCGGCTTCCAGACGGTTCGAGCCGACAGGAACACCGCCGCGACCGGCAAAAAGAAAGGAGGGGGACTGTCCGTGCTCATAAACAACAGGTGGTGTAACCCCGGGCATGTCTGTGTGAAAGAGCGTGTCTGCAGCCCGGACATTAGCTTGTCGCCGTCGGACTTCATCCATATTATCTGCGATGGGAATTTTCCAGTGTTATCACCATCACTGTCTATATTCCTCCGTCTGGGAAAGCAGAAGCAGCGTGTGACGTCATCCACATTGTGACTACAAACGAAACACCCAGAGGCCTTCATCATCATCACAGGGGACTTCAACCACGTTTCTCTCTCGTCCACACTCCCAACCTTCCACCAGTTTGTTACATGCACCACCAGAGACAATAAGACCTTGGACCTGCTGTATGCAAATGTTAAAGATGCGTACTGCTCCACTGCCCTGCCACCACTGGGCAGGTCAGACCACAACCTAGTCCGGCTCTCCCCATCATACAAGCCTGTGGTTCAGAAACAACCAGTCACAGTGAGGACAGTGAGGAAATGGTCTCCTGAGACCATAGAAACACTGCGTGGAGCGCTGGAGGCCACCGACTGGGATGCTCTGTATGAGCCACACACATTGATGGCCTTACTAACTGTGTCTGAGTACATTAGGTTCTGCACTGACAACTCCATCCCCTCCAAGGAGGTCCGATGTTACCCAAACAACAAACCGTGGGTAACCAGCAACCTGAAGGCCCCTCTCAATGAGAAGAAGAGGGTCTTTAGATCAGGGGACAGAGCAGAACTCAAGCGTGTACAAAGAGAGCTCAAACACAGCATCAGGGGGAGTAAGGATCCATACAGGAGAAAACTGGAGGACAAACCGGAGAACAATAACACCAGAGACGTATGGAGTGGGATGAGAGAGATCACCGGCTTTCAGGGGAGAGATGGGGGTGCAGCTGAGGGGAATCAACAACGAGCCAGTTCTTCAACAGGTTTAACTTCAGCTCCTCCACCCCTGGCAGCCCCTCTGCTCCTCTGAGCAACAACCCCAGGACTCTCCCACAGCCCTCACAGCCCCCACAGCCCCCTACCACCTCCTGCAGCAGACACCCCTCTGTATCAAACTCGTCATCCCCACCCCCCAACCTACTGCTGACACTCACTACAGACCCTGCCACATCCCCCACCTCCCAGACTGGACTTCATATCACAGTCGGCCAAGTGAGGAGAGAGCTGGAGAGGCTCAAACAGAGGAAAGCTGCTGGACCGGACTGCATCAGCCCTCGAGTACTGAAGGCATGTTCCAGCCAGCTCTGTGGAGTTTTCCAGCACCAGAGAGTGCCAGTGCTCTGGAAAACATCCTGCCTGGTCCCAGTGCCCAAAAAATTATATCTATCTATCTATCTATCTATCTATCTATCTATCTATCTATCTATCTATCTATCTATCTATCTATCTATCTATCTATCTTTACCACTTCTAATATTAGCATTTAACAGGCAGCCGTTCAAGTATATTTAAATTATTTAATATCAGAAATGTGCTAGTTGACAAGGAAAATCTTTGGTCAGGGCAGCCCTATACTGACAACATCTTCACTGACTGATGGACCACAACGTGAGTCTGTGGAAAATTTGAGATTTGTGTTCTGACAAAACCTGAATGTTTATGAACCAAAGATTTAAACTGAATATACACAAAAAAATACATATAAGATACAGTCAGTGAACTGACCTCAGAGTCTCCAGTTTACAGTTTGGACTCTCCAGTCCAGCAGAAAGATGCTTCACTCCTGAATCCTGCAGGTTGTTGTCACTCAGGTCCAGTTCTCTCAGATGGGAGGGGTTGGACTTCAGAGCTGAGGCCACAACTTCACAGTGAGTCTCTGAGAGTTCACACTTAGAAAGTCTGTAAGGACACATGTTACACAATATGATGAAAAGAGGATACTGTGTTTACTTTATGTATTTATCGACAGAACAATTTGACATTTTGTATTATACAGTTGTATGCAACAGTTTAACAAATAAAACATTTAGGTGATTTTTTTTTCATTTAAAAGATGTACACAGAAATCTACAATCTTGCAGAGCGATGCTCAGAAAACAACCTTCTGCTCAACGTCAGCAAAACCAAGGAGCTGATTGTTGATTTTAGGACACTGAGGCTGAGGTGGAGCAGGGCAACAGTTTTAAGTTCCTGGGAATCAACATCACAGAGAACCTGTCATGGTCATGTTACATCTCCTCCCTGGTTAAGAGGCAAAGCAGCGACTGTATTTCTTAAGGAAACTTAAGGAAACTAAATTCTGGTGCCAAATTCTTGTTAACGTCTACAGAGGAGCGACAGAAAGTATCCTGACTGGAAACATAACAAACTTCTGTTGCCATACCACCAGACTACAGAGCAGCTTCTTCCCTCAGGATAATGAGGCTGTTGGATTGAAAAACTATTTATGATGCAAATTAATCATTTTTATTATTTCAATAATTTTATTTGTGTTTATGACTTACTGATCTTTTTTTTTATTTTGTCTTTGGAGGTATCATAAAGGGATCTTAAAACCTTTAGCTGTCCCTGATATATAGACTATACTGATGTACAAAATGAATATAATAATTAAAAAACAATTAATAAAAATTAGTCTTGTGTTATCTAAACAATATAAAAGTAGAATCTTTAATTCTAGTGTTTGGGTCCATTTTCTATAACAAGGAGGTTTGTCGTCCCCTCTTATCCTCTGAACTCTGTATGAAATCACTATAAAACCATTACAAATGAAACTATAATTGTATGAAAGTCATTCTCTAGAAGAGAAATCTCTTTTGGGAATAATAACAATAAATAATAACTTTACTGCATTTACAGGTAACAATAAAATACTGCTATATGTTCAAATTCTACTGTGATAAAACCTCAACCCCTTAAGTCCTCCATCACCCAAAGGAACATAAACAGTAAAAAACTCAAAAATGAAATTACTTCAATAACTTAGTTCAATAACTTCAAACAGCTCAAGAACATCTGTGACAGAAGACAAATAACATATTTAATGTTTGCAATAGTGGAACACTATCTTAATAATAATAATGTTATATTGTTTGCATCTAAAAAACGAAACTATTAAATGTATTATGTTAATAACGTGGACTTACAGAGCCTTTCTGCAGTTCCTCACAGCTGGAATCAGTCTCCGTCGTCCCTCCTGTGATGTGTTGTACTTCTGCAGGTCAAACTCATCCAGAACCTCCTCTGACATCTGCAGCATGTAGGCCAGAGCTGAGCAGTGGATCACAGAGAGTTCCTTCTTTGATCTGTTCTCTGACTTCAGGAACTCTTGGATCTCCTGATGGACTGAGTGGTCGTTCATCTCCGTCAGACAGTGGAAGATGTTGATGCTTCTGTCAGGAGAGATATCATCACTGTTCATCTCCTTCAGGTTGTTGATGGCTCTCTTGATGATTTCTGGACTGTTATCTGTCTGACCCAGCAGGCCTCCTAAGAGTCTCTGGTTGGACTCCAGAGAGAGGCCATGAAGGAAGCGAACAAACAGGTCCAGGTGGCCATTTTTACTTTTCAGAGATTTCTCTGTGGCTTTGCTCAGAAAGACATCCAGAGATGGGTTGTTTCCTAAGTACTTAAACATTTTCTTAACAGACTTTGGATTTGAGTCCCTGTCTCTCCAGTCTTTCCCCAGGAAACCCTCCAGTACCTTTGTGTTCCTGTTGGTGTAACAGTGGAACATGTAGACTGCAGCCAGAAACTCCTGAATGCTCAGATGAACAAAGCAGTAGACTGTTTTCTGGAAGATCACACTCTCTCTTTTGAAGATCTCTGTACAAACTCCTGAGTACACCGAGGCCTCTGTGACATCAAGACCACACTTCTCCAGGTCTTCTTGGTAGAACATGATGTTTCCTTTCTCCAGCTGTTCAAATGCCAGCCTCCCCAGCTTCAGAAGAACCTTCCTGTCAGCCTTCGTCAGCTCCTGCGGACTCGTGTCATGTCCCTTATCATACCTCTGCTTCTTCCTCTTTGTCTGAACCAGCAGGAAGTGTGAGTACATGTCAGTCAGGGTCTTGGGCAGCTCTCCTCTCTGGTCTGTAGTCAACATGTGGTCCAGAACTGTAGCAGTGATCCAGCAGAAGACTGGGATTAGACACATGATGTGGAGGCTCCTGGAGTTCTTGATGTGTGAGATGATCCCGTTGGACAGATCTTCATCACTGACTCTCCTCCTGAAGTACTCCTCCTTCTGGGCGTCAGTGAAGCCTCGTACTTCTGTTACCCTGTCGAAACATTTAGGAGGGATCTGATTGGCTGCTGCAGGTCTTGAAGTTATCCAGACGAGAGCCGAGGGAAGCAGATTCCCCTTGATGAGGTTTGTCAACAGCACGTTGACTGAAGACTTCTGTGTGACATCAGACACAACCTCATTGTTGTGGAAATCCAGTGAAAGTCTGCTTTCATCCAGACCGTCAAAGATGAACAAAAGTTTACAGACGTCGAGCTGCTCTGCTGTGACCTTCTGTAATGTTGGATGGAAAACATGGAGCAGCCTGAGAAGACTGTACTGCTCATCTTTGATCAGGTTCAGCTCCCTGAACGAAAGCAGAACCACCAGACTGACATCTTGGTTCTCCAAACCCTCTGCCCAGTCCAGAGTGAACTTCTGCACTGAGAAGGTTTTTCCAACGCCAGCGACGCCGTTCGTCAGAACCACTCTGATGTGTCTCTGTTGGTCAGGTAAGGCTTTAAAGATGTCGTGGCACCTGATTGGAGTCTCATGGAGGCTCTCCATCTTGGAAGCTGTCTCAAGCTGTCTCACCTCATGTTGGGTATTAACCTCTTCACTCTGTCCCTCTGTGATGTAGAGCTCAGTGTAGATCCTGTTGAGGAGGGTTCCACTTCCTGGTTCATCAGCTCCTTCAGTCACATGTTCACATCTCCTCTTCAGACTGATCTTATGTTCATCTAAAACCTCCTGCAGACCATCATCTGCTGAAAGAGAAGAAAAATTTTCATGAACAATATTAATTGCTTTTCCTCAGTAGATGTTGTTTGGTCACTTATTCAACGAGATGATCTGCACGTGTTCAGTGTTTCCTACAGGATGTCAGTTTACCTGTTGCAGCGGCTGAGGGGGTTAAATGTATTTATTGAAAATATTTAAAAGAATAAGTTACATTACCCCGTTCTTGTAAGCTTATCATTTTCTTATTTACTTAATTCAATACTTAACTCTCAAACTACTTTAATCTACTCGCCTTGATTTTCCTTCTTTTCCACTCATGCATTCACAATCTGATCTGAGTCTCTCACACACACCCCCAACCCTTTCTGTTTCTCTCTCCCTGTTTGTGTCTCTGTTGATTTTCTTTAGCAGTAAGTTTCATAAAGTAGGCCAAAAAACACAGTATTCAGGAGACTCATTGTTAATTAGGCAGCCTAACACAATTGAAACCAACGTGGTACCAATGTCATCCATCATGTCAGAGAGCGTCTGTCTCTGTGTGTCTCTGCAGACCAGTGTGAGGAGGAGGAGAGCGAGGGAGAGCGAGGGAAACTGTCCACAAGTTAACTGATCAAAGATATTTGTACTGGGAGTTAAGAGATTCTTTGCTGAAGCAATGGCACAAAACACAATATTAGAGAGAAAGTTAAAATATTTCTCATTATGAAACTGGCAGGAGAAATCAGACAGTGGCAGGTAGCCATAGTCTAGGTAAGGAATGGGAAACTCTGTGTTTGTACGTTAGAGAAGAAGGAGACATTAGCAGGAAAGCTAATTGTTGTGTCTCAGGCTGCTTTCTGTCTGTTATGGTGCGTTCCCACCAAGGCAAATCAAATTATTTGTGAGAGTAGATTAAATATAAAGTCAATATAAAGAGTTGAAAATATTGAACTTGCTGTTGGCCCACAGATAGCTCTGCAGAAGAGAGCCGGAGCTTCTGGAGGAATAAACACCCGCAGTCACACCAGATTCTGCTCTGATCTGGAGACGTTTACTGGCAAGAGGAGAGCTCAGAGTTTATTTTTAAACTTCTGGGATTGAAAAGTGGATTTATCTTCACTTTCTCTTCTCAACCTGTCTGCTGTGAGCCACGGATGTAAAATATATTAAATATAAATGTATTCCTTTTAGGTTGAACCAGTGTTTCCAAACCAATATCTCAGTCCCAGTAAATATCTGTGATAGACTAACTAGAGGACAGTCTCCCCTCACTCTGTACCTCCTGTACAGTCTACTGACAGTCACACTGCAGAGACACACAGACAGACGCTCTCCAACACAGTTGATATGTTACAGGCACAGACCAGGAAAACTAACAGTGAACAGCAGCAAACACACCAGCTGGTGCTGATGTCATTCAGTACTACTTTGGTTTCCATCGTTTTGATGAACTATGTCATTAACAACAAGCCTCCTCCACACACAGCTCACCTGCTTTTTAAAAAACAGAATCACAGGTGAAAAATCCCAAACACGAGTTGTGTTTTTGGGCGACTTTATGAAACTTTATACTGCTGAGGAAAGTCAACAGTGACACATACAGAGAGGGAGAAACAGAAAGAGTTAGAATGGGGTCAGCCAGTGTGTGAGAGAGACACAGACCAGAGTAGGTGTGTTTGTGGATGGAAAAAAACATCAGTTAAATTTCAGTTGGACTTTAAACGTAAAGAAATTCATAAAGATCTTAAATGGCTGTGCTGTACGACACCACAACTGTATTAAAACGAGTAGTGACATCAGTTCATCAGTTTAATTAATGTTAAATAGTTCGGTCTAGACCTGCTCTATTTGAAAAGTGTCCTGAGATAACTTCTGTTATGAATTGGCGCTATACAAATAAAATTGAATTGAATTGAATTGAATCAGCAGACAGGTATACAGTCTTACTTTGTACAGTGCTGGTCTGACTGTCTGTCTGCAGTCCAGCTCTTGTTCTGGATCTTCCTCCACACTGGGGACAGGAGGAGTCTCCTGGTGAATCAGACTGGTCCCAGTATGAGGTGATGCACTGTCTGCAGAACCAGTGTCCACAGCTGGTAGAGACTGGATCCTTCAGGACGTCCTGACACAAAACACAGCAGGACGGCTGCTCGTCCACAGGAACAAGACTGCTCTTCCTCTCTCTGTGGAGACATTTCTTTATTAGTAAACTGATTGACTGTGTCCACTGACTGTGTGTAGAAGCTCAGATGGTCACAGAGAACAGCAAAAGTCTCGTTAGTTTTCTGTTTGAATTCAGCTTTCAGTCTGTCATTAAAATGATTCCTTTTATTTTCACATTTAGTGATCTGCCTGTAATTTGTTATTAATACAAACTCAACACTTCAGGGAACTATTTCACAGTAAAATTCCTCCATTAAAGAGAGCTGATTATGTCCTTCAGTGTTTTACAGTCTCTTTGGGCAGATTAGCTTCAGTTGGTTAAGTTTGGACTGAGGTTAGAATTGGTTTAATAAACTGTGGTAGATCAACAGTGTCAGACACACAGCATGTAACAGTGGTATAATCTGACTTTACAGCACTATACAAGCCAATATATCAGTGTAGTAGAGTCACAAATACCAATGTATTTTTATTGTATTGTATAATATGTTATAATATATTTTTTTCTTTCTTTCTACAATACTCTGCTCTGTCCCTCATCCTGAATAAAACATTTGAACAGATGAAGTCTTTTGACTTATTCATTTTATCTCCACACCAGGACTGTATCATCTATTCACTGAAATTTTTAGTAGTAGTTGAATATAATATATACATTAAATTATATACATATACATTATTATAATTACATTTGCTTCATATGATGCATTAAGTTTTGTTTATGAACTTGAAATCTGACATGGTGATAAATGGGTCAACCTTCACACACAACTAATGGAGTTTTTAGTTTTTAGTAAAATTAGTTACACAAATACAATCAGTAGTTTGTGGCTATAGAACCCAGATTAAGAACCATCTTAGTTTGATCAGGTCAGTTTACAGTAAAAACAGTCTCTTACTGTGAGTCTGAGGGTCCAGGTTCTTTACTGAAGTTTAGAGGTGGATGATTGGACCGGTCACTCTTCATAGACAGACATTATTTTATTATTATTTATCTTTTTTTTTTTTTTTTTATTTTATTTTATTTTGTTTATTTTTTTGTGGGATAAGTGATAGACTAGCTGGGGAGGGATAGGGAGGGCTTTGACAATCTCTGTACTTTCCCTGTCACAAACACTGCGTTATGTCAATGTATCTGAAAGAAATCAATAAAGATATTGTTAAAAAAAAAAGAAGTGTTAATTCTGAAAGTTACGTTCTCAGGTGTTTTGTTCCAAAAATACAATCACGAGTTAATGGCTATAAAACCCAGACTACTGTGGACTGTAGGAGAAAGAAATGCCTCTTACTGTGAGTCTGACGGTCCAGGTTCTTTACTGAAGTCTAGAGGTTGATGTTTGGACCGGTCACTCTTCATAGACAGACAGCTGGACACTGGAGACTCTGCTCTCTGTCTGTTGGACTGAACTCTGCAAACACCAACATGTTTATATTCATATTGCCTGATTCAGATGACAAAGTCATTCAGGAAGCTCTTAATACACAAACTGTATCAGTCCTCTTAGATTAGATTACAGCTTTTCTATTTGACTGACAGCTGTCACAGATAATAAGAGAATTATTGGACAAACTATTTCTCTTTGTCACAAATTCAGCAAATACTATAAAGACTACAACTTCTACACTGTAAAATATTAGTAAAATATTAAATATACAAACACAAAATATGGCAAGATTAAGGCTGCACAATTATTTGAATACAGGGATGCTCCGATCAAGTTTTTCTAATCCCCGATCTGATCCGAGTCATTTAATATTGAGTATCTGCCTATACTAAGTAACAATCCCATACTTTTATATTCTTTGTTTTTTTAATTTTAAGATAATACAGTTGCAGAGTGCACATTTCAAGTGCATTAAAGTTATTAAAATCCATCTAGTGTTTATGCTTAACTACTTAACAGCTCTGCATTGCACCAAGAAAAAAAACTTGCATCTAAACAACAAATCTCTTTGGTCTTGTCGTTGTCTGGAGGGAGTTTCTCTCTCCAGTGTTTGGTGCTTCAGTGCAGCCTTTACCTGTCAGTCCTCTTTATTTCTGTCGTCTCTACATCTTTTGAACGATTTACAGTAATGAATAACTCTTATTGGCTTTTTGTTTTTGGGGCTTTTGTTGCACTTGCAGTGGCGTGTTGAAAGTGGCTGTGTTTGATCTCTACAGCTGTCTCTCCTCGGAGCACATGGTGAAACTCTGCAGTGGGTAGGGCTTCCTCTGCTCTCACACACAAAGAGCTCAGCAGACAGCGGAGAGAGTTTACAATGGCTGCACTGTGCATGAAAGCTTTGTGAGTATAAACAGCTGTGTGTTAAAGTGTTAATTCTGATCTCAGAGCTGTGTCCTAGATGTAAGACAGAAACAGGAAGCCTCATCCATATGTTTTGGACTTGTACAAAATTGGGACAATATTGGGCCTATATTTTGGATGCACTAAACAAGATCACAGGAGCTGAGATCCCTCACTCACCAAGATTGCTTTTGTTAGGAGACTCATCAGCCCTGCCTATTAACAGGAGGAAAATAAAATATACGCTTTATCAAACTAGCTCCGATTGCTGGAAACAAATGCATAGCTATATCATGGAGAGTGAGGACCCTTCTACTGTCTCTATGTGGCTGAAATAAACTGCTTCATGTATGGCCTCTGAAAAGATCATGTTCAACTTAAAAAAAAGCCCCATCTTTTTGACAAATGTTGGAGTGGCTTTAAGGGGTAATTAGAAAACATCACATGGTCGGCTGGGCAAAGACCACTAATGGTGTAACAGCAACAGGTATCAGATAACTTTTCCCAACATGATGTATTTGATGAAAAGACTGTACTCCACCGTTGATGTCTTGTCTGCTACTGCCTATGTACTGTAAACCTCTGCTTTAATTTAATTTAAGTTTTTATTTTTTTATTATTATTATTATTTTTATTTTATTATTATTTATCTTTTTTTTTTTTTTTATTTTATTTTATTTTGTTTATTTTTTTGTGGGATAAGTGATAGACTAGCTGGGGAGGGATAGGGAGGGCTTTGACAATCTCTGTACTTTCCCTGTCACAAACACTGCGTTATGTCAATGTATCTGAAAGAAATCAATAAAGATATTGTTAAAAAAAAAGAAGTGTTAATACTGAAAGTTACATTCTCAGGTGTTCTGTTCCAAAAAATACAATCACGAGTTAGTGGCTATAAAACCCAGACTACTGTGGACTGTAGGAGAAAGAAATGCCTCTTACTGTGAGTCTGACGGTCCAGGTTCTTTACTGAAGTCTAGAGGTGGATCATTGGACTGGTCACTCTTCATAGACAGACAGCTGGACACTGGAGACTCTGCTCTCTGTCTGTTGGACTGAACTCTGCAAACACCAACATGTTTATATTCATATGGCCTGAATCCTTGATAAATTCTCAGATGACAAAGTCATTCAGGAAGCTCTAAATACACAAACTGCTGCTACTGTAGATTATTAGGAGGTTTAACAGTTTGTATTAGTCCTCTTAGATTAGATTACAGCTTTTCTATTTGACTGACAGTCACAGATACTAAGAGAAAGATGGTACAAACTATTACTGTTACTGCTAACAAACACTGAACATTTCCTACTGCTGCAGCTTCACATTAAAAGCCTTTAACTGGCAAACCACAAGATGACTTTTATTTTGAAGTAAGCTAGTCACAGGAAGTGTTTCTAAGTTAGCCTGACATAAATATTGTTACACAAACACAGGGCTCTGTAATCAGTAAATAATCAGCCCTCTACTACTGGGGAAAAAACCCCCCCCCCCCCCCCCCCCCCCCCCCCCTCCCCCCCCCCCCCCAAAAAAAAAACTTTTTTTTTTTTTTAAATCCTCCCTTTTCCCCTTTTTAAATTTTTTCTCAAAAATTTTTCTACCCCCCCCCTCCCTTTCTTTTTTTTTTTTTTTTTTTTAAAAAAAGTTTTTTTTCCTCTGACTAATCAACTTCCCACCATGCAATAACGTATCAGCTAATAATGCCAAAACCTTAAAGGCCAAAAATAAGAAGTAAATATTTATGTATCATGTTGCAATATGGTGTTAAGTGTGTTTAAAAATATTACAAAACTTGAAAATACCATATATGTGAAATTATCAGTTATCCTATTGAATGAAATTTGTGACACAAGTACATCAGTAGTTTGTGGCTTAGAACCCAGTTAAGAACTTTACTTAGTTGAAACAGATCTGAAAAGCTCTGTATTAATATAAGTCTTAACAGAACATTTAGTCTTTCATCTTCATTACGTTTAAGTAAAAATTTTTTGAAGTCTGAGGGCCAGGTTCTTTATGAAGTTTAGAGTCAAATTTGGCCGTGTCACTCTTCATAGACAGACAGCTGGACACTGGAGGCTCTGCTCTGTCCTCCTCTTCCTCCACACAAACACTCATCTTCTGATCTGAAGTCAGTCTGAGAGTCAAACAGTAACACTGACTGTGAGCTCAGAGCACAGAAACAGGAACAACAAGTTTGTACAGACACACAAAAAAATATAATAAAACAAACCAGACTTTTTTAATATGTAAATTAAATATTTACCCCTCTGCTGTTGTGGGATAATAAAGGATTAATTTACCTTATCTTCTGCTCTGTCCACTCAAAATGGAGTCTGACTGAACACTTTCACTTTCAGGTTCCCTTCCTGTTCTCATGTACCTGGATCACCTGCTCAGTGTTGCTCCTCCCCTCTCCATTTACAGGAAATCACCTTATCTGTGTGTGTGTGTGTGTGTGTGTGTGTGTGTGTGTGTGTGTGTGTGTGTGTGTGTGTTTCTGTGTGTGTGTGTGTGTGTGGTGCTCACATAGATCAGTGTAGCTAAAAACACACAAATGCTGCATTTATTTATACCGTACTAACAAGCAAACTTCACTGATAAACAAATTTAAAACTTAAAACAATGACCACAATAAATAAAAGAATCCACTTGTCTTTCAGGGCTTCTGTACAATTGTCTTTATGAACCTGTGATAATGCTGAAAGCTCAATAAACTGAACTAACAAACTTATTTTCATTCATTCATCCAATGCCTCATTTATCATCAGTGACTTATTATGGCAGCCTGAATGTGCTTCAGTTTCTGACTCCAATAATAAGAGAAGAATCAGAGGATTTGATCAGAACCAGAATCATCAACAAGCAGAATCAGAACTGGAGTCAACTGTAATTATTACTGAGGAGAAAACTGACCCACAGATGTTAAAATCACCAAACCTCAAGAAAGAAAGAAGTAAGAAATAAATCTTTGTTGTAGTCTGATGGTGGAGCCACCAGGGGGAGACAGTGACTGTTTCAGAGCTTCACTGGTTTCAATCCTGAAGAGCTGAAAGAAGAAAGAAGAGAAGCAACCTGCAGCCAAACATGAGAAACAGACCAGAAGCAGATTAAACATGTGATCACGTCAAATCAGGAAAATTACATCCTCAAAATTATTTTTATTCAGAGATACTTTCTGGTTTCATGTACAAGCTGGAACCATCCTGGACCTCCAGTCTCCAGTTATTAGTTAAGATCTAGTCTTATTCAGATATTAGTTGCAGCCCCCAAACAACCTCCTGTTCATTTCCAGGTATTAGTTTGGACCCCATGTCAGGTTTTAGTCAGAGTCCTCCACACAATGCTACGTATTAAGGCCTGTCACTCACTTACAGGTATTAGTCAGGTCCCTAATGTTGTTGTTTTTACTCCACTACGTTTATCTTAAAATCAAACTACCCAACATTTTACACAAGTACAGCTGGAACCATCAGTCTATTAATCAATTAGTCTATTGACAAAAAAGAAATCACTGCTTTGGGCTGTTTGTGAAGGTGTCACTGTGAACTCTGGGTAATTGTGACACTATTTCTCCCTATTTTCAGATCAATCAATCAATCAATGGATTATTGGAGAAAAAAGGATCACAATCACTTACAAGTTGGAAGCAATACAAGTTAAACTGCAGTTCCTGTTTGGACTGAACGGTTCAGAGTCTGCGCAGTAGTGATCGGGGTCCGGTCCATACGCCCAGCAGACTCAATGGTGAGCAGGACTCACTCATGACGTGAAAGTCTCATTTTATATCTTCAAATAACAAATTAAAACCAAACTGATATTAAAAACGAACACTTGAACAAACATCAGCAGAACGACCTAAAATTGGGAAAAAGGCTTTTCACTTGTGTCAGGGGTAAAAGTTCTTGCCGGTACGACTGAACGTCTGTATGGTGTAGAAATAACAGTAACAGTTGACTTCATGTACAGTGGAGGTGATACACAATATACTGGAAGGTTGACAAAACTTTAAAACTTATAATCAATAAGTTGGTTGTGAAAACATCGAAAATACAGGAACAAAGGATCAAATGCAACCTTCTTTAATGTGCCACATTAATAAAGCATTAAATAGAAATATCTAAAGGTGGCATTAGAAGGTAATACAGTGTTTTATTTTTTTTTTCACTGAACGTAAGCCACTTAGTCTAAAATGTGGCCATAACAGATCAATTTACTATCATAGTTTCCATTCTAACCATTGTTAGACCAAACACAGAATAAAAGTAAAGCGTTACGTTGGTGTTTATTAGATTAGATTCAACTTTATTGTTGTTGCACAAAGTACAACTACTAAGACAATGAAATACAGTTCAGCTTCTAACCAGAAGTGCAAACAGCAGTAAAGTGCAGAGTAATGTGCATATGTACAAGGATATAAGTAGAAAGTGCAGATATTAGTTTAAAAGTTAGTAAAACAAAAGGTTCATACAAGGACTGGTTGGTACAGACTTCTGACTGTAGTTTAAATGTTCATGTATTAGTTTATTTTTATGCATAATAACAGATTAAACTTCCTTTTTTTCCCTCCACAATATGTTTGTCATTTTATTGTTACAACCTATAAACTGACACATTTGCATGCTCACACTGTATTTTCATGACATTTCATTTCATTAGAAATGCACAATATGGGTGTTTTTTTTAACATTTTTAACCCACTGACTTCTATCACTGACGTCTTTAAAGTGCTCCAGTTACAATGAAACTCTGATGGACTTTTCTCAGATTTTCTGTGAATGCAAGAGAACAAAAGCCCCTCAGAAGAGCCGCTGGCAGCCGATCCAGCTGTGCAAATACCATCAGGATGACGCTGCAGAGGAAGAACGCCTCATAAACTGTCTCTGATATTCAAAGATTGGGAGTCATTACAATAAAATAAATGTTTGTTCAAAGAGCGAAAATGTTCTCTTTAAACGGGTATCTGGTCAATATGGAGCTGACTGTAACTGACGCTGGATGGATGAATGTGTCACTGGGCAATATATAAATTTAAATTATTAGATACTATATGCTGTCAGAATAAAAGTATCCTAATGCAGTAACAAGTACATTTTCTTTAAACTTGTGGAGTGGAGACATAAAGCAGCAACTTGTTTCTGAATATTTATTTAGTTAAAATCAGACACTGCTGGTAGAAATACATTTACTCCACAACTGTACTTAAATACAATTTTGAGGGAATTTTACTTTACTTGAGAATTTCCATTTTATACTTCTTTATACCACAACTACTTCCGGTAGTAACATTAAACATTTTATTTTTTTAAAGTCCAGTTAACAACTTTTGGTTTGTATTGGCTTCAGTCACTGAACTCAACCTGCTTTTATTTTGAAACTGGCCTTTAAAGATCAAACTGTTAATTTAAACCAGTATAAATATTACTTCTACAAATCATTAATTTGATCATTCGACACTTTGGTGTTCATAGTTTCAGTAAAATGAACTGAAGGGTTGAACTGTGGAGGATCTAATTGATCTAATGACGCGTCCTTATAAAAGTCAGTGATCTAAACAGTTTTAAAAGGTTTTATATGTTTAAAGAACTTCAATAAAATCCACACCAGGCCTCTAATGGAGACCTGCCTTTATTTGTTAAAAACCTGCAACCAGGCCTCTAAAGGAGACCTGCTTCTAATTCATAGTGTTTGAAGCCACGAGGTCCCTGTCAGAGCTCCAGTTTGTCCGTGTTTACAAGTATTGTTTTATCCTTTATTGTGTAAAACAACAACAATAAAATCCTTCAGAAACAGCTTCACTGCAGGCGATCACACCACAACCCTCGAACTGGGTTTAACAAATCACTAGTTACTAATTACAGTAACGTGTTGCTTTATAATGCGTTACTAACACTGCTACTGGGCTATAATAATGTTTTAACTTCAAATATCTTAATAAAGGTTTTTTTCCCCAACATTCGATAATGTCTGACTCTCTCTCTCTCTCTCTCTCTCTCTCTCTCTCTCTCTCTCTCTCTCTCTCTCTGTCCCTTCCTGTCTATAGCTTCACCTATCCTATCAACATAAAGGCATAAAAAAGCTTTAAAAATATCTTTAAAACAAAAAGTCTGTTCTGCCACACCAGAAGAAACATGGATCAGTATCAGAATATAACTCTTATGGCCACATGGCTGTACTGTTACTCAACTGTGTCTCCTGTCTGTCTCTCTATGTCTGTCTGTGTGTCTGCTCACCTGCCTTATCACCTCAGCAGTGTTTCCACTCCAGTTCTGCTGTGGACGTGTAGCCTTTGTTTGTCTTAGAGATTCCAGTTTTGTTAGTAGTTTCCCAGATTAAACTCCTCCCTAACCGAGTCTCTTGTGCCTCAGGGCTACATCTCTCGTCTTTTAATTCACCTTTCTCCTGAGTCTGTGACTGCATTTGGGTCCAACTTTGCACAACAATAACCTGAAAAGTTTCTTGTTATAACGAGACATTTGTCACATGATAACCACATATAATTTATAATGGTAAAACAAGAAACTTTTCTTTTAATTAAACTGTTTATCTTATGACAAAGAAACTTAACTTTTACAGTTACAGAACAATGTTTCTTCTGCTCAGTAGTATTTTTAAAGAAAAACTGATGTATTTTATATACGGTAATCCTGTAAATAATCCCCAGTTTTACTAAATGTAACAGTAATATGATTAGGTCCTTTTCCTGTAACTGTAATCGATTACAATTAGCTTTTTTCTGTGTCCTGGTTTTGTACCTCAGTTACCTGAAACCAACACTGTTACTACTAATACCTCACTGCCCAACATTATATAAATATTGTTAGAAGAAGTTTGTATGTTGTAATAACGTTAAAAAATACCTAAATGTAAATTCTGAGGTCAGTTATTGATGAGTGACAGATACAACTTCCTTACTGAAGCTCATATTTCTGCCGTCTGTCCCTGTTTCTGTCCTTCAGTCTGTCCAATGTGATGTTACTGTAAACTACTGTTTGTTGTTCATTCATCCACCTTTTACTACGAGACCACAGACACAGAAAAACAAGAGGGTTTATCTCCACTTCCTGTTACTGTCTGCTGTTTCCAAGGTTCATTATTAGAAGGTAGGTCAGCTCAGTTTATGGGAATTATTAAAGTTCAAATCCCCTCTGCTCCACACTGTCACACCAAACTCCATTCAAAAAACGGCTGTTTTAAGGAAGTAAAACCTTTATTTCCACCATCAGTGAGACTCTGATTCTCTTCAGTCTACAGACACAATCTGCTCACATTGACTCAGTAACATCATTAACTAACCTGTGAGGAAGAGGTGGAAAAAAAACACACCACCGACTGTCTGGCAACTAACCTGTGAGGAAGGTACACACACATCTGTCTGTGTCATTACTAACCTTGAGGAAGAGTACAGACACAATACCTGTCTGTCATAACTAACCTGTGAGGAAGAGTTGACTCATGCTATCATCATTAACTAACCTGTGAGGAAGAGTTGGACACACACACACTCACTGACTGTCTGTCTGTCATTA